GAGGCGGATGCCGTACACGTCGGTCAGTGTGGCCACTACCTGGTAGAAGCTGACCAGGATCTTAAATTTGGGCTGGAATCCGATCGAGCGCTGGACGTTGCAGACGCGATCAAGGTAGTAGTGCGGCAAACGCTTGATCGCAATGTTGAGCCCGGCAAGGAATAAGACGGCGCCCACCACAACGCCGGCCATAATCGCGAAGCGGGAGCGGCTCGGGCAGTCCACGCACCGCCCGCTGCCGCGATTAAAGTGCTGGCCTGACTCGACGCACACCTCACAGCGCGGCCCGGTGTGGCCCGTCTTGCAGTACATGCCCTCCGCCGTGTGGTCGGCCTGGGCACGCCGGCGCGAGAAAGCAGGGTTGGCGGAGCCGGCGCAAGCTTCCGAGTCGAGGCAGGGGTAGAGCTTCGCAGTTTTTACCGACGCGCGCCAGTAATTTTCAGGCACGCCGAGGAAGGCGAGCGATGAGTTGAAGGCGCTGCAGTTGGCAAACGGCGGGCAGGGCTTGCAGTGCTGGTCGGGGTTGGCCATCATGTCGGCCGAGTTGACGCCCGGGTCCCTCATGTAGAAGTCCTCCAGGCAGACGGGGCAGTCGACGCTGCCGATGGGGCTACTCAAGGGATGTGGACACGTCACACATGCGCTCTGACCAGCTTCGGAAGCGTACTCGCCCTGTTGGCACAGCTTGCACTCTGTGGCGCCGGCGAGGGAGGAGGCTCCCGCGGGACATCGCTCGCAGGTGCTCTGTCCAACGTCAGCCGTGAACGTCCCAGGACGGCACCGCTCGCATATGCTACTGTGGTGTTGTCCCGTGGCGGAGCTTGCCGTGCCGGCCGGGCATTTGAGGCATGCGTCAGGCGAGTCCGAGCCGCGGTCGGGGTTGAAGGTGCCGGAGCCGCAGGGCTTCCAGACCTTGCTGGTGGCGGCGCCCGCCTCCTCGCAGTACCCTCCCGGCGGACACTCGAAGCACTCAGTCGCGCCGGCTCGCTCAGTATACGTGCCTGCCGGACAGCTGCTGCAGGCAATCGACCCCTTCTTGGGCTGGAAGGAACCCTGGTCACATCTGATGCACGCAGCCAGGCTGGTTGCACCTTGGCTCGGAGTGTATCTCCCCTCCGGGCAGGGCTTCGGCTCGACTGTGCCCTTCTCGCAATAGTGGCCGGCGGGGCAGAGGCCGCCGCAATCGGAGCTGGTGTGGTCGGGCCTCGTTCCGACGGTCCCGTTCGAGCACGGTTCTGAGCACCCCGTAAAGTCGCCCTCGAATCTCCCGGTGGGGGGCATCCAGCTGCCAAGCTGGCACCGCCAGGCGACGGGTCCGGTCGCCACAACCGTCGTGTTGTCTCCGGCGCGATTTCCGATGAATGTCGACCCTTGAATGGAGGCGGCCCACAGCTGGCTCGAGGTTGCAGTTCGCCCAGTCACAAGAAGAGCAGAGGCAAAGTCAGCGGCGTTGCTTTCAAAGGTGACGTTGCTCAAGCTGCTCAGGAGTGTTCCCGTCGCAGACAAAACGTCAAGGTACAAGTCATGCAGAGCCATCCCGCCTCCGTCTTGAACAGCTTTACAGTCCCTGAGGGTGGAATCAGCAACCTTGACATTGCTCTCGTAGGTGGCAATAGCCCCACCCACCTAAAGTAGCGGAGACGGGGCTCATTCGGGAAGCGAGCACTTCAACACCCCTCACAGAACATGCACACGCGCCATCGCCGAGCAGCCCAAAAAAGTTGAATTTGAGATCTCGGAGGCAAAGTATGCACCACGAATGCTGATCGCCCCGCCTTGCTCTCCAGCCGAGCATCCGGAGATCGTGCAGTTCTTCAGCACCAAACTACGATCTGATCCGATCGCTCCGCCCCTGAGAGCTGAACAGTTTGAGATTGCACCGGAAACCATCTCGAGCCGGCCATCACTGACTCGGACTGCACCTCCTTCACACAGCCCTTCGTCCATTAAGCACTCGTCGGTGGAATAGGCTTGCTGCGCATTGCCGTTGATCAGTGTCAGACCGACAAGCAAAACATCACAACCTCCCGAGACGTCGAGGATGCGTGACTGTCCCTCGGCGTCTAGCGTGGCAGAGCCTAGACCGTCAAGCTCAATTCGAATGGAAGAGCTGCAGCGGAGCGCCTCGCCACCGAGACGGAAGTGTGATTCGGGCGCCAGGCTGATCCTTGGTGGAGCCGCCCCCGCCTCGACCTCGGTGATGCGTTGTCGGAGCTCACCGAGCGATGCCACAGCCGACGCTGGCGACGCAGGCGGTGGCGTTGGTGGCAGGGCCGGCCTAGGTGGAGGAGGCGGCAGCAGAGCGGGTAGCGGCTGCAGCGCAGGCCCGGCTGGTGGTGCTGGCGAGGTTGGGCGCCAGCACAGCTCCCAGCCGCGGTAGGTCTCTGATTCTGCGGCATCTGTGCACAGGCCAGGTTCTGCAGCATTCCATCGGATCATGCCGTCGTTCGGTGTCTCGCCCTGCGGAGAGCTCTCACACCACCTCTCGTCGTTGATGACCACAAAGTCGCACCGGCATTGTACGAGCCTGCCATCATCGTCGAGGTATCCAGCATCGTACGATACCTCCTCCACCCGTCTGCCCCTGTCCACGAAGGGTGGCTCAATCTCGAAAGCGAGTGCCTGGAGAGGAACGGCCGGCACGTTGAAGACCGTGCAATCATGAGGGCCGCCGTATGGTTCAGGGTAGTTGGGGCTCGCCACACACGCCCCTCGGTGAGTCAGGCGGCAAGGTCCCGTCACATAGGGCTCCATTAACAATGCGAAGCGAACGGCCGACGTATGTGACGTCCCTCGGCCCCGCCGCCTCTCTGATCCATCCAGGCGTGAATTCTCAGGGTTTCCAGGCAGTTTATTATTCCTGGACACGAACATCTCAGCACGGCAAGCTAGTATACACCGGATGCAGGTTGTACAAGCATCCCCCATTCACGCACGACTTTTTGCAAATCTCGTACCCGAACGCCGCACACCTCTCCACCGCCTCGCCATAGGTGAGAGGCTCAATGTAGTCTGGTAGCTCTCCGGCGAGCGGCCGCGAACGCGTTTTCTGTCCGCCGTTTCATCGAGTTTGCCCGAGGGGTTGGCCGACTGGTCTGGGGGCAAAAAACCAAAAAGGTTGGCTTCCAAGAGCTAAAGGTCAACATCCCCTCCGACACAATGTGAACGTGATCTGGTCCTCACGGGGTTGACCCGTCTCCTCCAGATCGAGACGGACTTCATGAACGGCCGAGCAATATTTCTTCGTTAATATTATTAATTGATGCTTTTTGCACGGCTGAGCCCCCCCCCCCCCCCCGCGCCCATTCCCTGCCCTCTCCCGCCACACACTCCGTCAGAGCCCTCTCCCCTCTTGCACGACAGGAATTTTGACAAACCTGTACCCACCGAGGCACAACTCAGAACGATGGGCTTGCCCATCCCGGAGTGGTTCGATCCCACACAAACCCGAGACGGTGACGGTAAGCGTCGTGCGGTCTCAGGCCCAGTGAGGTAGAGTGCGCCAGACCAACCCGGATCCTGCTGAACAAGCTCCTCTTGTAGCTCGATCGGTCACACCGCCATCGCCGTCGGGGAGAGGGGGGACGACACTGCTTCAGCAGCGTGCACCTCGATCCTGTACCGTGTTTGTTATGACCCCCCGCAATGAACACACCAGTGAGGGTGGGCGAGACGATCGAGGGGTCCCGTACCATGGGCGGAATCGACCCTATCAAGCTGCTATCAAGTGCTCAAGTGCTCGAGTGCTCAAGAGTCAAAGACTATCGTCGAGCGCGTCGGAGAGGTGTTTCGACACCGAGTGTTTGAACGTTTCTTCGCAGAAGAAACGTCGAGAGAAAAAATCTCTGGCCGGTGTTCACAGAGCTCTGTGAACACCGGCTACTCGGCCTTAGCCGCCGGTACGTCAACAGTGCGATAGCCAAGTATCGCACTGTTGGGTCCCGATGGTGTCCCATCACAAATTCGTGCTGTCGACAGATCATGTCCCTTGGTCGACTGCACCCGCCTTTGGACGGTTCTCCGACATGCTTAGATGAGTCTTTTTGTCTTTTTTGGCTCGCCTGGCCTTCACCAGTGCGAACATATTCTTGCTCGTAGGAGCCGCTCGTCTTTCGTCCGAGCAAACGTGCGCCCGATCGCCCCATTAAGCACGTGCGAAGGGTATCCGAGCGCCGTAAACTCCCTGAGCTTGCTCGTCACGCTGAGTGCGAATCCCTCGTCATCGCTTGCCATCGCGACCACCTTGAGCAGGCATCCAACCACGATGCCCGCCTTCATTTTAGCGCATGTGAAGCTATCCCAACGATGGTAGCGCCACGCTCGCGGTGCCGTCTCGCAGCCCTCATTAACGTTCTTGAGTCTCGTCCGGAAACTTCCGCTTGGGTCGAGCTCAAGAGTCGTTTCCAAAAAATGGGTGCTCTCGGCGGCTTCCAGCTTCAACGGGGCCCAGTAGCACTCCGAACGGCGGAAATCTTCCCGGAAACGATCAACATCCCACGTGCTATCGTCCTTCGCAGTCACTGTGATCACATCGTCCATGTAGCGCTTCATACGGAAACGCGCTTTCGCATCATCGTCGAGTGTTTGCATCCACTCGTGCTCCATCCACGACGCAAGAGAAGTATACGCTTACGGCTTTTATGGAGAAGTCAGAAGATCTTCAACTTCATCTTGTCCTTGAGCGCGGCCGCCAAAGGCAAAGCACATGCTTTTTCTTAACAGTAAATATTCATTCCACACAACACCGCGGCACCAGTCACATCGAGCTGTTAGAGCCGTACGTAGCGAGCCCAAACGGACATACAGTGACAGTACGCCGCTGCCCGGGGGTGCAGAGAGATGCTAATTCTCGAGTCCCCCACTGACAGAGACCGGCCCACATACTCATCCCGGGCGAAGTGCCCGCGCGGCAACAAGGGGCTATGACAGCACGTTTCGGTCATGAATGGCAAGGCGGCAGAGCAGCACCAAAGCGTTGGTCACCGGCCCCGTCCCCGCACTCACCTCGCCTTTTTGGCCCCGCCGGCGCCAGCGGCGCCAGCCTTGCGCTTAGGCGCCTTGCCCGTGCCGCCCAGCTCGAGGACAGACTTGCCGGTCGCCTCGTCCGCCGCGCGGGCAAACGGGTTGAGGAGCGTCGGGGCGGCGCCGCTGCCAGCCGGGGCCGCGGCCGCCACCGCCTTTTGCCTCGGCGGCGCGTCGTTCTCGTTCGCGCCGCTCTCCCGCTCGTCATCCGCGTCGGCGGCGGCCTCTTGCGCGGCGGGCGCGGCGGGCGCGGCGGGCGCCCGGGCGGCGGGCGGCGCGCGCGGCGGCGCCGACTCGAGGTCCTCATCGGGGTCAGCGTCGTCGTGCCGCGCCTGCTCGCAGCGTCACCCGGTGAGGCGGACCGTGAGGGAAGGGAACGGTCGGCTCGACGCCTCTGGGGGCGGGGGTGGCGGGCGCCTCGAGCAGCCGCGAGAGGCGGTCGGCGAGGGGGCCGAGCTTGAAGTGGTTTGCGAGCTTGAGTGCGCCTGGCCGAGAGCAGGAGGGGACGGCGCTTAGGGCTTGAACAAGCGGCAAGGCGAGGGGCAAGTCTGCGGCGCCGTGGAGCGACTTTGGCAGCTGCAGGCTGAGGGCGAGGTCGAGCGCGCGCGCGTTGCGCTCCGTCTTGTTCGCCTATGACCTCGGGCCGTCACGGGTAAACCTCGGGCCCTCTCGGCGGCGTTGCGCTCCGTCCCGTTCGCCGTCTGGAAGAGCTTGAGCGCGAGCGAGTCGATCTTGGTGACGAGCCGCATGGTGTGCTCCGCCGTCTCCTCCTCGCCGAGCCCCGCCTCGGTGGCGGCGAGGCGGTACTCGTCCAGCTCGACCATCGCCGCGATGCGCTGCGCCTCGAGCTGCGGCTCGGCGGGCTCGGAGCACGCAAGGGGCATCGCGAGCGGGAGGGCCTGAGGGACACGTCGAGGACGTGTCGGTGGCCACGCCGTGCGAGGCAGGCGGGCGCCCCACGCCACTCAAGAGTGCTGGCGAGGAGGGAGGCGGGCCTCCTAACGCGCTGTCTACGAGGCGTCTAGGGAGTGTCTGGGAAGCGTCACCGTGAGGACGGGCCGCGGCAGCGTGGCGGGGTACTTGTCGTCGCCCTTGCACAGGATGCACATGAGCTGGGCGCCGGTGAGGCCGACCACCCAGTGATGCTCCGCCTGCAGTCCCAGAGGGGGGGGGGCGTGGGATGGGCGTGGAAGGGGACGAGCCCAGCCACGGGGCGGGGGGGTCCGCCTTCGACTTTTTGGCGCTCGCGCAGTGCAGGATCGGCATCCACGTCAGCCCCGCCGAGCGGACGCACTGGCGCACCACGCCCGCCGAGTCGACCGTCGAGAGGGCGCCCGCCTCGGAGAAGCCGACCCAGTCGAGGGTCGCGCCGGGGGAGAGGGGGAGGAGCTCGCTCGCCAGCCGCACGGGCCGCGCGGGCTCGCGCAGGTCGTACAGCGTCACGAGCAGCGCCTGGCCGTCGGAGAGAGGGGTCGGGCCAGGCTCGGGGCGGAGGGGTCGGGGGGGAGGGGTCGGGGGCTTAGGCGGGCAGAGCGCCCGGCTTGGGGGGGAGGGGTTGGGGCTAGGTGGGTGCAGCGCCACGGCGGCGGCGCCTGGTCGTCGGAGAGTGCGCCGCGCCCCGCGTGCGTCACGAGGGCGGCGAGGCCGCGCGAGGCGGCCAGCGCGACGAGCGGGCCGCCGTGGCAGAGCAGCGAGCGCGGCGCGCCCGTGTGCGAGTAGACGCGCAAGTAGCGCGCGCTGGTCGCGACGAGGGCGAACTTGTGGCCGACGGCGACGGCGACCGCCTCCTCGCCCTTCTCTAGCTGCACCTGCCAGTCCGAGTTCGGTGCCCACGAGGCGAGCGGCCGGTACACGACGGTGGACGGGTTGCCTATGCGAAGGCTCCGCGAAGGCTCCGCGGGACAGCTTCTCTGCAGGAGGACACACGGCGGTGGACGGGTCTTGCCGTGGTTGGAGCGCGAGGCGAAGAGGACGGCGGCCTCGTCGAGCGCGGCCATCGAGAAGCCGTAGTGGTCGGTGAGGCGCATCGTGCGGTGCTTGGTCGCGTCGTTGAACTCGACCTCAATGGCGGAGTACGTGTTCTCGTCGCGAGAGAGCACCATCCCCGTGAGGTTCCTGCAAGCGGGGGAGCGGGGCGCGGGAGGGGCGCGACTGGCGAGGCGGGCAGGCAGAGCGGCGCGGCTCTGAGGCTGCGGGCGGCTGCGGCCCTCACCACAGCAGGAAGCGGCGCGAGTTGCGCAGAGGCGTCGCCGACGGCTGCAGCACCTCCTGGACCGGCGCGGCGGGCGCCGCCGCGAGCAGCGCCGCCGCCGCCTTGGCCGCGCTCAGCCCCGCAGAGCCCGCGCCGCCGCCGGTGGCCGCGTCGGCGGCGGCCGAAGCACCGTGCGTGCCGTGCATCTTGAGCTGCGCAGCCAGCATCGCCGCCTCGACCGCCTCGTCGTCGTCGTGGTCGGAGAAGCCGCCGTCGTCCGAGTCATGGACCACCTTGCGCAGCCGGCGGCGCCCCCCCTTGGACTCGTCCCCGCCCTCCTCGCCTCCGGCGGCCGCCGCCGGGGTCGACCCCTCTGGCGCAGCGCCATCGCCGCCCTCCGCGGCGGCGGTGGCGGCGGCGGGCGCCGCCGCCGGCTTCGCGCCCGGAGTCGGCGCGGCGGCGGCGGCGGCGTTGGCCGCCGTCGCCGTCTCTCCGTCGCCCACCGGGGGCGGGTAGTGCGCCGGGACGGGCTGCGACCAGATGCCGAGCTGGCCTGAGTCGTCGAGGAAGCAGAGCGTGTTTGCGGTCGGGGACCAGCAGAGGCCGCAAGGCGTTGCGTCGCCGCGGTGGCGGTCGAGCGACTCGCCGCACGCCGCGTCCCACACGAAGATCTGCTTGTCGAGCCCCGCCGTCGCCAGGTACCTGAGACGGGGGAGTGGGCTGAGAGGGGTCGCGTGTGGGGAGGGAAGGGGGGGGGGGGGAGGGGGCGGAGGCTGCCGGCGGCGGCCCGGCGCTGCCAAGCGAATCGGGTGGTGCGTGGTGGGCGAAACGGGCATATGGGCGGGAGGGGCGGCGAGGCCAGTGAACGCTCGCACAGGAGAGAAGAGGGGCGGCGCGGCGGCGGCGGCGGCGGCGCGGCGGCGGAGGCGAGGGCCCGCAAGAGAGGCGGCCCTCACCGGCCGTTTGGCGAAAAGGCTGTGGTGGAGACGTCCCGCGAGTGGCCGTCCTTGCCCGCGCCGCCCGACTCGAAGGTCGCCGTCTCCTCCCACGTCCCGCGGTCCAGAAGGATCGCCCCCGCCCCCTTTGGCACCGCCAGCGTCTCCCCTTGCGGGTGCCAGCACACGCCGAGCTGCTGCGCAGAGCCTGGCAGCACGCGGCCGCACACGGAGAGCGTCTTGACGGTGGTGGGGTCGTCGCGGATGTCCCAGATGCGGACGGTGCCGTCAGCCGACGACGAGGCCAGATACTCGCCCTTCGGGTCGAACGCGAGGCACAGGACCGAGTCGGTGTGCCCCTTGACTGAGACAAACTGCGACGCGCCGGCGCCGCTCGCGTTGACCATGCACATGCGAATGGCGCCGTCCTCGGCGCCGACGGCGGCGATCCGCCCCTTGGGGTCGAGCGCGATGCACCGCACCGCCGACTGCATCCGCGTCAGCATCCGCATCCCCTCGCCCGACGGGTAGGAGAAGACTGAGGCGATGTGAGCGTCGGTGCCCGTCACGACGCGCGCGCCCTTGCGGTCCATGGCGAGCGCCGTCACGGGCGCGTCGTGGATCTCGAGGGTGCGCGGCTCGGCGCTGAGCTCCTCCGCCTCAAAGATCTTGACGAAAGTGTCCTCGCCGCACGTGACAATGTGCCTGGACAGGGGAACGGGAGGCGTCGGACGAGGCGGGCGGCGCACGGGTTCAGCAGAAGGAGGAGCACCGTCCGTCGGGGGCGTAGGAGATGGCGCCGCGCCCCTCCGTGTGCGCACACTTGAGGTGGACACCCTTGTCGAGCGGCATCCGACTGGCGACTGCCCGGGCTCTCGCTCTCGATAACGGCGGTTGGTGTAGCAGGCGCGAAGACCGATTTGATTTCTTCTTTCACTTCCGAATGATTCTCTTCTTCTTCTCCTTCCTTTTTCCTTTGATTTTTTTCGCTTGTCCCGCTCCGCCGCGCTCTGGTCCAGCGCGCTCTCTGGCCGTCGCTCTCCGGCCTCATTCTGCCCAAAACCGGCGGCACGATGATCGATGTCACCGGTTGACCCTCCAAAGGATGCTTCCGATCTACTCGAAGCAAACAGCGGGTGGCTGCCGATCTCTGCCGAGGAAATCGACAGAATCAGCGGGACCGGAGCGATTCGGAAGCTGCTCGGAGTTTTCGCGCCGAGGGCGGCAGGCGGCGGATTTTTCTTTTGATAGGAAACAAAGCAAGGCGGGACATGGCATGCTATCATTTTTCTTTTGTTGAGGGCCAGATCGACTACTTAGTAACTTACAAACTTCTTGGTGCTGGATCTTCGCCCCGAAAGGCGCGTTCAAATGCCCGGAATGGCCGTCTCTCTGGTGTCCGGCCGGCGGGGAAGCCGGATGAGACGCTGGTTTCTTTGCCTAGGCCTGGCCTACGACCCAGGCTTGATCAGCTGAGCAAGGTTTGCGCTTGTTACAGATCTTCCCTCCGATATTTTGTTGACGGATGACGAAAATGGGCAAAAACGGGGCTTGAGTTGTGGTGCGCCGACGACGTGGTGTGCGAGGTGGAGAGGAGGAGCGCGGTCATCGGCTGCATTCTTCGTCTGCTGCGGTGGAGCTGGACGTCCCTCTCTTGTGTCCCGCCGCAACGCGCAAATCGAAGTCCGGGTTCTTAGCTCTGAGATGGACGACGACGGCGGTGCGGAGTTCGTCCGTGAAGGGCCTGCCACGAGGCGTTCTGGCCTGTCTGATCGACTGACGGGCTCAGACGTGTGATGCCGATCACGACGAGCGCTCTCGACAGATGCCAATGTGTGCAGATGCTGCGCAGCCTCGCACACGTCACCCACCTGATGTTGATCTGCCCGTCGAGACTGCCGTCGACGTGCATGGTGAAGCGCACGGTGGCCGCGCCGGTGCGCTCGGTGTGTCCCATCAGCAAGCTGATGAAGGACGCCTCGCGCGCCGTGAGCGGCTCGCCGGCCTTCATGCACCGCTCCGCGTTGCGGAGCCGACTAGCGTTGTCTCGCTTGAATGCCGGCATTCAAGCGCTCTCTGTTCTTCCGCCAGAAGAAAGAAAGAAAACAGACAGCCAAGGGAGGGATGGGAGGACGGCACGCCGCCACCAGGCCGCCACCACACAGGCAGGGATTTTAAGGAGAGGGGTGTGGTGCGCTAGCCGTCGCCCACCCTAACCCTTGGGCGTCCGCCTCTTGCTCTTCCTATCTCTCTTCGCAGTCTCTCGCCGATTCTCGCTGCAACCTTCATGCCACCTCGCGGTCGTCCCACTCTCGTCGTTCTTTCCCTTGTCGCTTCTTCTTCTGTCGCGTCGCTCTCCTCTGCCTCGTTCTGCGACGCCGCCGCCGCCTGCCGGTCCCTTTTGTTCTCGCTGCTTCTTGCTCCTTTCGGCGCAGCTCCGTCCTCCTCGCTGCATATCCTGGCCCCTCGAGTCTATCGAGCTCTCCTCGAGCAAGGACGAGTCTTCTGACGCCCACTGCGATCATTTGCCACCCAGTCATATCGTTGCTCAGGTCCACTCTCTCTTCGAACACTTGTGCCTTCACTGATGATGCCGGCGCTGGGGTCCCCTTCGGGTGCATCGTGACGGCTGACAACGGGATTTCCACTGGTTCGTCCTCCTCGGAGTCGTCTTCCCCCTCTTCCTTCCGCTCGGCTCTACGTTCAGTGCGTTCGGCGTGGCTCACCCTCCATGCCGTGAACAGGCGCTTTATCCACCCTATATTCTTCTCTCGTTCCTCTGCCCGTGCCTTGGTCTTGTCGTTGTTTCGCACCCATGTCTGTATGGCAATCGAGGCTGCCTTCCCCACTACCTGTAGTTCACTAGTAGGTAGGTAGTAAGGTGAAGAACAGCCAGGCTCGGACTGGACACCAACGCGGTATGGGTGGACGCTGGACAGATGATGACGACTCGTCACGTATCCCGCTCTTCGTTGTTCTCCCAGTATGTCGCTGACCACGCCGATTGAGCACCGTAATAAATAAAATAAATAAAACGGGCACGCCAAACGGGGGGTGGGAGAGGGACAGGGTCCCCACCTGCACGAGCAGGATCTTGGAAGGACGATCAGGGACACAGGGGAACGGGAGCGGGGAGCGCATCGCGACACGGAGGGGGGCTGGGCAGGGTTCACCCACACGACAGGGTCCCAGGGATTCCTCTCTCGTATAGGACAGGTTGCACCCGGCGGCACGGGGGCAGGCGCGGGCCTCCTACTGGTTGCGCTCTCCTAGTTCTCCTGCTCCTGACAAGGGACAGCGACAGGCTTGCAGCACGGTGGACTCCCTATTCCACTGGCGATCTCTCTCGACTAGCGACCTTCCTCCGGCTTCTCACCAGCAGTCTCTCACTACCACGGGCACACTGACAGAGGCGGCCAAAAGGCTCACGTGGGTGGCAGGGCGGTGATAGGAGTCTCCCACTCTGTGGGCTTCGCTAGAGGTGCGGCCCCTGCGCGTGTCCTCGCCCTTGCGTGTGTGTGTGTGTGTGTGTGTGTGTGTGTGTGTGTGTGTGTGTGTGTGTGTGTGTGTGTGTGTGTGTGTGTGTGTGTGTGTGTGTGTGTGTGTGTCTGCGGGCGCTGTGCGAGCCGCCCTGAACGACCACAATGTTGAGCGCGCTCGAGCACCGAAGCACCGCGAGCGCCGGCGAGCACCACCGCCCCGCGCCTTGGCGTGGGTCGGTAGTACACGATGCGGCGCCCAGCAGCTCTATCATGCGTCGCACCCGCAGTGGCCGAGCCGACCGCCGCTCGAACTGGCGCCGAGTGGCTCCCAGATCGAGCGTGGCAGGCTCAGTCGCACCGTCGCGGGGCGAACGCGAACCGAGCCGTCGCCGTTCGCCGCAGCCGCCGGCCGCCAGCCGTCAGCCGTACAGCCGTACAGCCGTCAGCCGTCAGCTCGCAGTCGCCGTCGCTGCCGCCGCCGCAGCAGCAGTGAGCGAGCTCCTGCGTCGTGTTGCCGACGCAGTGTGGACGCGCGCCGCCCAGCGGCGAGCGAGCGTGCTCGGAGTTGGGTCGGCGCGCGCGCGGGCGGACGGCGCCTGTAAACAGACAGCCTGCACGCCCACTCCTTCAAAATCGTAGACACTGGGCACCGTGAGCGGCTCGCCAAGGCGACCAAATTCTTTTCGCCGCCGACTCTGTCGGCTTTGGTGCCTTGTTGTTGGGCGATGCTCCACCTCGAGCCGGGGCACCGGATCATGGCCGAGGCGCTCGCCGCGCGCATCCACGCCCCGCCCGACCGGCGCGAGGCCGTCGACGTCCGCTGCAGCGACTTTGGCGTGCAGTACTACCTCTGCGTGCCTCCGGAGCAGCAAAACGTGCTCAAGCTGTCGGTGTGGGTGCGCTGCTTCGCTGAGGTGGTGGAGGGGGTGGGCGAGGCGTTCTTCGCCGAGCAGCTCTACCCCGGCATGGTCCAGCCGCCCGAGCCAGGCTACTCGCTCACGCTCGCGCTCGACCTCGACGCGCTGCCGCCAGAGGAGGAGGCGCGGAACGAGCTGGTGCGCAAGCTGTCGTGCGTCGGCCGCGACGTGCTGGGCGCGCCGCTGCGGGTGGCGCTGCTTGCGCTCCTCGGCGGCGCCGCGCCGCCGCGGCCGTATTACGCCGTCCACCACCGCGAGGGCGAGGCGATGTATGTCGTCCCAAAGGCGGCCACCACCCGCAGCCCTCGCCCCACACCCTCGCCGGCCACCGCCCTCGCCGGCCACCGCCCTCGCCGCCACTGCCCTCGCCGCCACTGCCCTCGCCGCCACTGCCTTCGCCGCCACTGCCTTCGCCGCCACTGCGCCCCTGCCCTCGCCAGCGCCGCCCTCACCGCCACCGCCGCCACCGCCGTCGCGGCAAGTCGGCTGGCCATCCCTCCTCCTCCCACCCCCCGGCCCCGACCACCCGCTGCCGCCTGCCGGTGCGAGCAACCCTCGACACGCGCACTCTGCGCCGTGAGCCGCCCGCCCGCCCGCCCGCCGCCAGGATGACGTGGTGATCGTGGTCTTTGGCATCGCCTTCGCCAGCCCCGTCGAGGCGGGCCACCGCACTCGTAGCACTCTCACGTCACTGTCACATCACTCCATCACCCGCTCACGATCCCCCATCCCTCTCCCGCCCCTCTGCTTCTCTTCCCCACAGGCGGCCATCGCCAAGGCCTTCCTCCACGAGATTGAAATCTCGCGCCGCCAGTCGCGCGATCTCGCCACAGCGCCCACCGTCAGCTACACGTACCCCTTAGCCGGGAGATAGCCGGGAGTCAGCCGGGAGATAGCCGAGATAGAGCTCAGATGCGGCACACCGTCAGCTGCACGTGCCGCTACAGCCGACATGTTGCCGGGACGTAGCCGAGACGTAGCCGAGCTGTAGCCGAGCTGTAGCCGACGCGCAGCTGCCGAGGCGCTGGGACGGACGCCCACGCGGTGTGCACTGTCGGCGCAGTTGGGTGTCTTGTTTCTCATCACCTTCTGTGCACGCCCTGCTAGGCACGAGCCGCCGCTCGAGCTCAAGCAGCTCGACGGCGTCCGGCCGCTCCAAGGCGCCTCCCCTCGACCACCGCTGGCGGCTCTCTTCTCCTCTGGCTAGGTCCCAGGTCGTCCTCCCTTGTGTTAGGCGCCGGCTTCGTCGGCCACGTCTCGCTCGCGCTGAGCAAGCGGAACGTCGAGGGCGGCCGGCTCGAGAAGGTGCCGAGATACAGCTGAGATACAGCCGAGATATAGCCGAGGCATAGCGGCCAGCTCGAGAAGGTGCGCACCGCCACCCCCTCCTCCTCCCCCCCTCTGGGGCAGGTGCTTGCTCTCGTGGTTGGCTACCGAAACTACCTGATGTTTCATGTCATGGGCGCGCACCCAGACACCTGCCAACGAGCACTTACACCCCTGCCCCTCGCCCCTCGCCCCTCGCCCCTCGCCCCTCGCCCCTCGCCCCTCGCCCCTCGCCCCTCGCCCCTCACCGCTCGCCGCTCGCCGCTCGCCCCTCCTCGCGCAGGCGCAAAGTCGCAGCTCCACACGCGTATCCGCTCGCGCTCCTCGAACTGGCTCCAGGCGCCGCCACAGCGCCTCGCCGCCCCGTCGCCGCCCCCTCACGCCGCCTCGCGCCACTGCCGCCGCGTGTCTGCACCGCATATCGCTGCCGCCGGCAGAGGGGTGAGGCGCCGGCCCGTGGCGCAGGTGCTCAACCGTGCGATGCCCGAGAAGCTCGACAAGGAGAAGAAGACCATCACTGGCCGGACCTTCAGAAAAGGGCCCTGAAGTTCACTGCTGCTGCACTGGCTGGTGGCTCCCGCACGTTCGCGCGCATGTACTTTTCGATCTTGTGATGTCCGGGACGCACGATAGGGGGACATAGCATAAGAGAGGGCGGATCTGGGAAAACAGAGTAAACAGTGTGTACCTGTATGTTAAGAGCCGTACGCGCAGTGGTGTCACCACACACACCCCAGCCCCGTCGCGTCCCCCGACGACCCACGTGTGCGCCGCGCGTGCCAGCGATGAGCGAGCCGCGCGTAAAGACTAAGAGCCCCCGTAAGACTAAGAGCCCCCGCGTGTGCGGGGGGGCGTGCAGGGGCGAAAACGGAAAAGTCAACTGTCAATATAGTTAAAAAAACACCATAACAAAACAATGTCAGGGTGGTGTCACAGACACCATTCGCGAAGTGGGTGCCGGGAGACTGATGATGCTCCTTCGACTTAGGGAGCGGTTCAGCTCGGCTGGGCGGGCTTCAGGGTGTGGTGCTCACGCGAAAAGGAATCGACGCGATGTGCAAAGCATACAAGAAGAGGAGAAAGAAGAGGACGGACGCCGGTGGTGACGAAACAGAAACTAGCGCGGACGAGAGCAGCGCAGACCCGGGGACTGGGGAGCCGGAGCAGACGGCATCGGCCGCCGAGGGAACGTTGGGAAGAGGCACAAGGAGGGCGGCGACCTCAACCGACTATGGAGGACCCGTCGCCAGACGACGCAGGGCAGACGACGGTGAGGCGGAGCAGACGTGCAGGGCGAGACGAGGGAGGGAGCAGGACTTTGCGGAGATCAGCAGGAGGATGTACGAAGAGATTAAGAGCAGCAGGGACCCGAGGGACCATGTGGAAGACGGCTAGTGCTAGTCCCCCATCGGGAGGACGACCCCGGCGACGTCGCCGACCACACCCACAAAGAAACCTGCACAAAGATCGCAAGGGCGGGGACCTGTTCCTTTTTACCCATCTCCCAGTAGCGAGGTGTCCGTGTTACCATTCTTGAAACGCAACACGCGGTGGCCAGGGCCCGGGGCCCACGCCATGGCCCACGCCAGCTCCACTTGGAGTGTGAAGTGCTTCGTATACTTTAGCCCTCCGGTCTACTCAGCGTACTGTAAGACCATGACCAGAGGGCTGGAGCGAAATCAAAAAAAGCAAGCGAGTGGGCCCACGCGAACTCTAGTTACTAGTACCTCCGTAGTAGTAGCCTATAGCTGGGGTCGATCCCAATAGACAGTCCGACCACCCTACAGTACTAGCCCGCCTCAACCCACTTTACCCATGTACATACTATTATATTACCAGTACTCTAGTCTGATCTCTGTCTGCCGGCCCGCCCTGACACTGACACACGGCGCTGGGGCGGTCCCCGTCTGTTCAGAGCCCAAGCACGTCGCTGCTCGAGCGCGCACGGCCAGAGCGCACGCGGCATGGGCCCGGCGCAGACAAGGGCTGCGCCGCCTTTGGCGCGTCGTCGTCGCGCAAGCCGTACAGAATCCGAGCCTGCTCGCAGCTCTTGCGCCGCCGGCCGGCCGCCCCTCCCGGAGGGCTGGCGGCGGCCTGCGGCAGCGACCACTCCGTCGCTTCCAGGGAGAAGACACGCGTAACTTCGGCGACAAAATCGCGGAAGCTGACCCGCGGGGGTGCTGGGTCGCCGCGGCCGCCGCGCAGGGGGATGCCAGCCTCGTCGGGGAGGCCCCGAGAGAGGCCAAGCTCCTTGAGGGCCACCATGACGTCCTCTGCCGCGATGGTGCCAGTGGCCGCGTGCTCCTGCGGCGGGGAGGGGTTCGGGCGTGGGTTCGGGTGCGGTTGAGCTGCTGGCGGCCACCGCTTGCACGCATGATCTAGCCGAGCATCGTGCACCCTTAGGGTGGGGCTCGTGCGGGGTTGTGTGCGGATGCGATACGGCAGTGCGGCAATTGCGGCGGCGCGGCGGCGCCTTGGCCTCGAAGAAGGCGCGCAGCGGCCCGATGAGCGGCTCATGTGCTCCGAGGCGCATCGACGCCGCGTGCACCAGATCGCCGCGCGAGAGGGTCCACTCACGGAGCGACTTCTCGCCCCGGACGGCGCCCGCGCGGCCAAGCAAATTGCCGCTCGGCGCAGCGTCGTCCGCGCAGCTGCTGTCCCTGGACGAGGCGATCGTGGCCAAGCTGGGCGGCGAGGCTGAGAAGTCGTCCATCGACGCGTTCCTGTGCACCCATGGGCGCGCCAGCGGCCGATCGAGCGCCCCCCCGCGCCATTCGGGCGGGAGGAGGTCTGCCACCTGATCAAGAGCACACAACAGGGGAGAGGGATGCTGTAGAGTAGAAGGCAGACGGAACACCTCCTCGGCACCCGAGGGTAGGGCGGGAGGGGCGTCGGACGCACCGACGAGGCGACAAAGTCGGCGTGATCAGTGGGATAGAACGTCTGCAAGTCCTTCGAGTGGCATCCCGACTCGACCAAGCAGGTGCGCAAGCCAGCGCCGACGCCTATCGCAACCGCAAGCCACGTGCTATGAGGCGCAGAACCGAGTCGCTTGGGCCGCCTCCCGCAAGCGCGATGCCAGCGCGGATGTCAGTGTCGAAGCGGTCGCCGACGATGAGGATCTCGTGCGGCTCGCCTGCAGGGCATGTCACGGGTATGTCATGGACGCGTCTCCCGGACAAGTGTCTCGCTGAACGGTCAGGTCTCGCGCCGTCGAAGCCCTGCAGGCGCAGCATCTCGATGGCGTGCCCAACCATGTACTTGCCGCCCTCGGCCGCGCCGCCGCCCTGGTACAGAGGAAGGGTGGTGGTGAGGCAGAACGAGAGAGCCCCCCGAGTTTAGCTACGAGCCACCCCTTCTAGCTATCCTGTCCTCAGGCTGTCCTCTCCCCTCGCTGCTAGCCGTCCGCCTTGCCCAGGACGCGGTGGCGGTGGCGGCCGAGCGGCCAGGTCACCTTGCGGAACATGGCCGAGAACATCCCTGGCCCGGGGAGGGGGAGGCCCTCCTTCGTCGGGTTGAAGGCGTCCTGTGCGGCGGGATGGCTCAGGCGGTGAGGGGGGTCCGCGGGGGTAATGGGTGGGTGGGTGGGGGGGGGTTGAGAGGGGGAGGCACAGCGAAAACGCGAAAGCAGGGGAGGAGGGCAAGGTGCGGCGGGGCAGTCCCGAGAGGGCAAGGTGCACACGCGCGCCTCGGCCGTGCACACAAACTCGGCGCCGTGCGTGAGCAGCCAGGTCGCCTTCTTGATGACGTCGAAGGACCAGTCCGCAGTGATGGACCCGTCGCTGAAGAGGACGACGAAGACAGACGAGCTCGAGCCGTGCGCGTGCGCCGACGCGTCCGCCGCCCACTCGCGCGCCTCGTCCTCCGTCAGTGTGGTCCGCACCTGCACGTGGGGTGTGAATGTGGTGCAAGCATCAGTCATGTGTGAATGTGGTGCAAGCATCAGTAGTGTGTGACTGAGCACAGGGGGGGAGGTTTGTATTGAGGTGAGGTGTGCGGTGTAGCGACAGAGAGGTGTGGTCTTGTGCGTACGTGCGCCACCTCCCACGAGCGGACGAGGTCGGCGCCCGCCGCGACGAGGAGCCGCCACCACCACGCCTCCTCGACGTGGCCGTGGTCTGCCCCGCCGGCGATGACAAAGACCCGCCCGCCGAGCGGGACGTGGTCGACGAGGAATGCGCACTGCGCCTGCGCGGCGGTGTAGATGTGAGTGGCCGGGCAGGCGGCGGCGAGCATGCCCTTGGCCTCGAGCTTGGACTGCACGCCGCTCGCGCACTTTGCGCCCGTGTTGGACAAGAAGACGAAGGGCACGCCGTGGTGCTGCATGCGGGGCGGGGCGCGGCGGTGGGCTCGGAGGCGGCGGCGAGGGCGGGGGATGAGGGAGGCGGTGATGGGGCGGCTGGTTAGCGGGGCGATCACCCTTAGGTATTGGTGAAACGCATCGGCGCCGCGAATGCTGCCCGACGGACTGTACATCGTCCCGTCCAGATCAATCAGCAGCGCCTTGAAGCCCGCAAGGAAGCACGACTCGCCGGCGACGATGCCGTGCGGTCGAGGGGGAAGCTCTCTCGGGGGAAGCTCGGCGAGCCGATACATCCGCCTCGGGCATGAGGCGCTCGCAGCGCCCCCTCGGAGGCCTGCTTTGGGCTGATTATCGTCACAGCTCTTGGCAAGCCCAGACGTCTGCAATGGCGTGGCCTGCCGGCCGAGCGCCTGTGTCGGCTCGTCCGGAAACGGCAAAAACACCGTGTCGGGACTGCCGAGCTGCCGTGGAGAATCGTGTTGGGACGACTCGCCGTGCGACACCCGGCTGGTCCGCCCGCCCGTGGAGAGGCCGAGGATCTGCCCAAGTTTGTTGGCCGCTACTAGCACGCTTGCGACGGCCGAGGACACCTCAGGGTCGTCATGGTAGGGCAAGATTGAGGCAACGCGCGATAGGACGGCCTGTGCCTCGATCACGCTGAGCTCCGCCATCGCCGCCGCGGCCCGGTCGGCCAAATGCGAGCACAACACCTCGAGACGCCCGAGGAAGGTGTACCCCGAGGCGTCGGCGTTCCTGCTCGAGCAGCAGAGACCGACGGCGTCTGCGTCTGTCTACTCGCTTAGTGTGGGTAGAAAAAAGTATTATCCTAACGGTGTGGGGGCGCGGAGGGCTTGTTGGCGAGCCAAAATGGTGATGTCCGAGGCGCTGCGCTAGGCACAGAGCGAGTTCGCGCTGCGCTAGGCTCAGACGGCGAGTTAGTTCGCGCTGCGCTAGAGGCTCACAGATGGCGAGTGCGCTGCGATAGATTTGCGCCGCGATGAAAAGACCCCATTCTATAGGAGCCGATAACCCAAGGGAGGAATGCTGCGTTTTCTTCTTGCGTCCAACTCCGGCAGTTGGTCCACATGGCAGCCTCCAGCGACCTGCAGCTTCAGGCTCTGCAGCTTCAGATTCGGAACCTGCAGCAAGCTCGACTGGAAGCAGCTCAAGATCAACCAGCGCGACAAGCACATTCGCGATCTCCGCGACGCGACGCCGGCGCGCGCCGCCGACCTCGAGCGCCTCGAACGGTCGATCTGCCGCCTCTCGCTGCAAATGGAGCACATGCAGCTCGTCATCAAGAACCCGGAGTGGTCGTTTCACACCTTTGCGATGCCGGAGAAGACCGCCTCCTCGGCGCACACGATCTTCGTCCGCCCGCCCAGCGGGAACAGGATCGAGGTCACCATTCCACCGGGCAAGCAGCCGGACGAGCTCTTCACCGTCATGCTCGAGGACGTCCACGCGTACCCGCCGGACTGGCCGTGGTTGGCGGCGCCGCCCGCGCCGCCCGCGCCGCCCGCGCACTCCGCGCCGCCGCCGTGGGCGGAGCAGGAGGAGGAGGAGGAGGAGGGCGAGGACGGGGAGGAGGGCGCAGGCGAGGAAGGCGCAGACGAGGCGGCCCACCGGAAGAAAGCCAAGGTCAAGGTCGAGCGGCGCAAGGAGCAGCGGCACGCCGCGGCCGCGGCGGCAGGCCGCGGGCCCGGCCGGCGTGGCAACCCAAACTGGTCGAAGAGCGACGCGCGGCCGGCAGCGGCACGGCCGGAGGGAGGGTCCTCCTCCTCCTCGGAGGCTGAGTGAAGCTCCGAGGGACCGCGCAGTCGGCAGTTCGCACCGGCCGCGGCGAGAGTCGTGAACGGCACGCCAGCGGCTCTCTTCTCAGATCTCACAAACGTCTGTGGGTACACAAATACATTGGGCGTACCGTTCCGCACCTGTGCGACTCAAACACACCTGACCGTCGACAGTGACAGGGTGGGCGGGGCGAGGGCGGGGCGAGGGCGGGAGGAGCGGGGAGGGAGGCCGCAGGAGCGCCCCCCGGCCAGGCGCTGACGGCAAGCGCCGCGCTTTCTCGGCGCGGCGCTGGTCGCCCCACCGGGCACCTCGACGCAGCTTGACCTGCGGCGTGGGAGAGCTCTCTCGGCAGGAGGGGAGGAAGAGAAGGGGGCGAGGGAGGGCGGAAGGTGGGGTGGACGGTCGCGAGACGGGGGGGGGGGGGCGAAAACCAAAACGGGGCGAAGCCTCTCTACTCGCCAGGGACGCGCCTGGGGGCGCGCCCCCCAAACGAATTCGGGGATATCACGAATGACAATCTCCCATCCACTGTGTTCGTGCGCGTCGCCCATCTCTACTGGAGGTGACTGCTCTATTTATTTATTAATCTCCCATCCCTCCCTTGATATTTGTCTGTGGTTTTCTTTCTCTTTTAATTATTTTAAATGACAGAAGTCAGAACTCGGGACAACCGCGTCACCCAATCAGACGGCGCACTTGTCCTCCCGCTTCGGCTTGCGCGGCCGGCACGGCGCGCCGCAGCAGTACAGCAGCGCCGCGAGCGCGAGCGCCGCCCCACCGCACAGCGTGGCGCTCCACTGGCCCGGGCCCCCGCCTAGCAGCCCAAGCTCCGCCCCGCCGGCCGGCCCGTCCAGGCCGCCCTCCCCTCCCGCCTCGGCGCCGCAGAGACCGCACGAGTACCGGCAGCGCGCGAGCGCCTCAGACAGGGACTCGCGGCAGCCGCCCCGCCGCGCAAAGGCGACACACGACGGGCTCTTCCGCTCCGTGAGCAGCGCGTCCGCGTCGGCGCAATCTGCGCCCTCCTCTGCCTCTCCTTCTCGGTCCGCGTCGGCGGCGGCGGCCGCCTCGCCGCCGCCGACGCCGCCCGCGCCACGCTCCGCAGCCTTCCTCGGCCCGATCGCCTCCCGCTCCCGGCCCGCGCGCAGGGCGTCGAGCGACTGGTGGCGCCCCTCGGCCTTCTCCCTGGCCGCCCGGAGCGGGTGGTCGAGCTCGTCGTCGGAGAGGCCGCCTAGCTCACAGCGCGGGGCGTGAAGAGACGCCGTCCGCCCCGCAGAGGCGCGTCCGTCGAGGCACGCCGCGCCCTGCGTCCCCGCCGTGAGCTCCTCCCCGTCCTCCTCCGGGTCGCGCGCCCGGTGCCCCCGCGCGTGTGGCCTGCCACGCCAAAGGGGGTTCGGGCGGTCAGGGCAGCCTCTGCGGCCGCCTCGGGCAACCATGTGTGTGTGCGTGTGTGTGCGTGCGATCTTCGTGTGTGTCGCAGCGCACGCACTTTGAGGGTTGCTGCCGCTGCGCCGCTGCCCACTTCCAGTCGCCGAGGTGGCGCTCCTGTTAATCCATGATGAATGGGTCAGCTATACCTGATAATGAACACACCTCCAGTCGCAGAGGCGGCGCTCCTCCGGCCGAAGCAGCTCGTCGACGGGCTTGTCGCAGGTGCCTGGAGGGGGCGGCTCAGTCGAGGTGGCGAGAGCGGACGAGGTGGGAGGAAGGGGTCGCCCCGCGGCGTGCGCGTCATGACGTGGACCACGCACACCCGCACACGCAGCTTGGCTGCCCACGCCCCTGGCTGCCCGCACCTCGGCCGCGCCCTCTCGGCGCTGTCTCGGCTACCTCACACCGCACGACTTTGCGCACGAGCTGCCCATGAAGAAGGGGTTGTTCTTGCACTCGCCCGTCTCCGCCCACGAGACGCAAGCGGCCATCGAGTCGACGCACACGCCAAACACCGTGCGCGAGCCCGCCAGCGCGGCGCGCGCGGCGCCGTCGTAGTCGCCGGCGCAGTAGGGCAGCCGCGCGCTCGCGTTGCAGCCGCGCGCCTTGAACGCGCTGCAAGAGCGATGTTACAGTGCTCCACAAGATGTTATCTGATCCAGATATTGTGGCGCGCCTCGTACGTGCGGCAGAGTGCGCCGTCGAGCATCGCCAGGTGCTCGATGCAGAGCGCGTCGCGCTGTGGAGCGGAGGGCGACCCGTGGGAGGCGTGAGCTGGCGAGCCGGGCGGGGAGGGGAGCGGTGCTGCTGCTGCTGCTGCCTTCGAGACGGCGGCCCACCTGTCGGCGGGCGGCGTGAAGGCGCCAAAGAGGAAGTCGGGGCAGTCGCCCAGCGCGAGGTTCACGTGGTTCATCTTGTTGAAGTAGATCTTGGACGCCTGACCTCGGCCCGTCTCGGGTGATCTCGCGTCATCTCGCCTCGGCGTTGAAGTAGACCTCGGGGGCGATCTCGGGTGATCTCGCGCCTTCTCGCCGGGCTCGAAGGCCGGGCGGCCGAGCGTGTAGTCTGCGCCGTAGTGCAGGATGGGCGGCGCGCGGCCAAGGAAGGGCTCGTACCTGTCCGCGGGGCGTGCCGTGTGACCAGACGCTGGTTCGCAGCGCGCGGCCAGAGGCTTTTGGCCCGCGCCCGGGGTAGAGCATCACGTCCCGCCGCACTCGGTGGGTGACTCCGACGGTGGCGGCGGCAAAGACGTAGCCGTACATCTCCGAATGCCACATCGACTGCTTCTTGCGGACCGGCACCAAGTGCGCGTCCTGGAGCGGAGCACACACGGCTCAGGCTGGGACTCAACTGATCGTGCACGAGTCTCGCCCAAGTCTCGCGGGAAGACTGGGACCGAATGCAGCGGACACGGCGTGAAGACCGCTGAGCGCAGGAGAACACGCCTCGGCTCGAGCGCGCGCAAGAAGGAGAGGAGTGCGTAGAGGAGTGCGCATCTGGGTGCGCAACCTCAGGCTTGAGCTGCGACATCGACTCCTGGTAAAAGACGTCCGGCTCCTTGTGCGCAAAGGCGCGCACCTGCGGAGCGCGGGCGGTGTGGGCGGGTGTGGGCGGTGTGGGCGGCGGTGTGGGCGGTGTGGGCGGTGTGGGCGGCGTGCGGTGGGCGGGTAGGCGGCACGGGCGTGCCTTCTTTGTAAAGTCGAGCCAGAGGGGCGCGATGCGGCGGAGGTCCTCGGCGTGGAAGATGTGGAAGCCGCCCACCTGTGACCAGCGAGGAAGAGTGGCGTGAAGCGGGGGTGTGGAGGCCGCCCACCTGGCGCGAGGCACGTCGCTGTGACCACCCGCTGCTCACGCCTTCACAGCCAGGCTGTGAAGCCGGGGGAGCCGCGAGCGGCCCTCCCTCTCGCCGGCGCGTCCTCTTGTCTTCTGTCCCGCTCTAGCCGCAGTCCTGCGCGAGGCGCGGCAGCAGCGACTCGTCGAGGAAGCGCCTTGCAAAGCCGCTCTCGGTGCCGACGAGGTAGGTGTACTCGGCGGAGACGACGACGCCTCGCGCCGCGCCGAGGGCGAGGTGATCGACGGGCGCGCGGAACACCATGTCCGCGTCCGTCATGAGCACAAACTCGTCCTGACGTGGCGGCCGGGCGCAGCCCGAATGTCAGCGGCGGCGCGGTGGATGCTGGGGCTGCCGTCGGCGGCGGCGGCCGGGAGGGAGCACCCACGGGCCGGGGCGGCGATGGCGAGGGTGCAGCGGTGGCGAGGGTGCAGCGGTGGTGCGGAGGAAGAGGGCGGAGGGCGTGCGGCTGCACCTCTCCGTCAGGCAGCGGCGGTCGCTCCGCAAGCCACGCCATGACGGAGTAAGGCTTGTTGTACGAGGGGTACCTTGTGTGGAGGCGTCGTGGAGAGCGTCGTGGTTGAGACGCGGCGTGCACGCGGTGCTAGGGCGTGTGGTCTGACGAGGACCGATGGCGGTGGAGCTGTAAAGAGTGAACTTTGCAGCGGTCAGGGCCGCACCCCTTCTCGTCGACGAGCGGATCGTCCCGCATATTGCGGTGAACAAAGGTGTGCGGCGCGAGAGCGAGGTTCGCCTCTGAATACGCCTCCCGCTCCTTGCCCGCGCACGCCAGCAGCCTCGACAGGTTTGCCGTCTTGCCAAAACCAGAGAGCTCCATCGAGTAGACGAGAGCAGCAGTGTGCCAGTCGAAGAGGTGATTGCACTCGGCGGAGAACACGACCTGCAGCGGTCGCGCAGCTGCGATCGCCCAAAGTGAGAGAGTCAGCATGGCCGCCATTCTCGTCGGCACATTACGCCAGCATGGTTGACTCTTGCCCGGCCAAGAAAAAGAAAGGAAATTGCAAATCCAGCCTTACCAAACTCCAAGTGCTCAAAAGAGCGCCCCATCCCAGTGCCGGGCAAAAAGCAAAATAGAGAAAGGGTGGCGCTCAACAAAATAACGAATCAAAAGATACCACAATTGTCCCTTACAGACGGAGAGAGAGGTTTGTCAAAAATCTCTCTCTCAGACGGACCACGTACATGTGTATCAGGCAGCTGCGGGTAATCAAAGCAGTGGTGCCTCACAGCTCGGGCGAGAAGAAGACGGGATATGCCTGGTCAGCCACCGGAAAGCGCGCCTTGGCAGCCTCGAGCTCCGCCTGCGAGAAGATTTCGTGGAGCCCATTTGGAGCCTCCGCAGCCGGCGCTGCGGCGATGCCGGCGACGACGCAGCCCAGCTCATGCGAGAGCGGCGAAGAGCGCGGCTCGGCGAGCCGTTCCGGGTGGCTGCGGTTGAAGCGGAGGCCGAGCCGAACCTCGTGCACCTTGAGGGGCGAGGCGTGCGTCTCGGAGCGTAGCGCGGCGGCGAGGCCCCACACGGCCTGCGCGTTAATCTGCCCGAGCGGAGAGCGGGAGTCCCCGCCCGCGCCGCCGGTGACGAACGTGTAGCTCGCGCCCTCCACGGCCTCGAGCCGCGGGACGAGGAGTCGGCAAGCGGCAAATTGCATCGTCGGCAGCAGAGCCGCCTGCTCCGCGAACTGCTCGTGCGTCAGCGAGAGCAGCTTGCCGCGCAGCGAGCCGAGAGTGTTGGTCTCGTCGCACGAGCCCTTGGGGCCCGCCCACCAACGGACGGCGCTGTGCGTGACGACGTGATCTAAGGCGCCACCGGTTATCTCCATCGCCGCCGCTACTGTCTGCTCGGCCTCATCGGCCAACATCGAGCCGTGCAGAGGAATCAGCCGCTCCGGGCGGCCAAGGTCTTCGCTCAGGGCTTCGAGCCTGGCCTTGTGCCTTGAGTTGACGATGACCGTCGCGCCCGCGCGAAGGAGACCGCGAGCCAAGCCAGTGCCAATCACCCCAGCGCCGCCAACGACCCAGGCGTAGGTGCCTGTGAGCGCGCGTGCAGCCATCGCGCAGGCGACCAGTTAGTTGTTGCAGCACCGCTGGTGATGGAGATGAAAGCGAGTGCGACACGTTTTCTTTTTCTTTTCTTTGGAAGTCCAGACTGGCTGTTCTTCACCTTCCTACATACATACATACATGGAAGTCTAGCCACCTTCGCCCACCCACCGCGCTGGTGTGATAGCGCGCGCGAAAAGGTTTTTGCTCGCCTTCCCTGGGACCCCGTGTTGCGAGAGAGATATTTTTAGCAATACCAATGGGCTCCAGGCCCCAAATGACGTGTGAGTGTTAGAGTTGTTTGTGTTGCGTGACTGTCTCTGTGCGATTTCGGGCTCGGGGTTGTGCATTTATGTGAATTCATTCGCTGGTGTCCAGTCCGAGCCTGGCAGTTCTTCACCTTCGATACATACACATACCTTCCCCAGAGTGTGATCTGTCTGCCTTTGTTTGTTTCATACGTGATAGAGAGCTCTCACGCCGCGCGTAGGGCCCCTAGGGGCCTAGAGAACACAACCCTCTCTCTCTTTTCTCCCAGTAAGCTAAAAGTACGTACGTGATACGATAACACCGAAAAGGCGCACTCAAAAAGAGGAGAGCAGACGACACGAAGTTATACGCTACTCAAGCAAAAGGGAGCTCCGCGGCAGCGGCTTCATTCACTCGCTCGCCTTTGCGAGGAGGGTGCGCAGCACGTCGGCGTTCCGCCGAACCTGAAGAGGGCGGGCCAAGGCATAACCACGTGGAGCTACGCAGTCCACCCACCAACTATTTATAGGGCAGGTGACGCGCCTTGTGCTGCGCCGCCAAGCACGCAGCGTTGATCTCAAGCGGTGGCAGCGTCACCGCGTTGAGGTAGGGGAAGTCGGCCGCCGTCATGGCTGGGAGGATGGGGTCAGGGCCCGCCGCCCAGTTCGGGAGGGCCTCAGACAGCGAGGCGAGCGGCTCCTGCGTGCGTGGTGAGGCTAGTGATGTAGGACGTGTGAGAGACGGACTTGTCCGAGGTGATGGCCCGCCCGCTCCCAGCCGAGCGGCTCACCTGGCCCTGCAGGTAGAGCGCCTCCAGCGTGTACGGACTCGTCCCGAGGTACGCATTGGCGCGCACCTAGAGCGACGCGGATGTAGGTCGACGCTTCTGCCACCTCCCCGGGCGTCTGTTTAGCACGCGCTCGCGCACCGCCACACCGCGCAGCAGGATCGAGTTGCCTGCCGAGGGGTCGTTGAGCGCCGCGCGGACGGAAGGCCACAGCGCCTCGTCAAAGACCTGCAGCGTCCCATTTGGCAGCCGCGGCCAGAGGCTGAAGCAGTGGTTGTCGCCGACGGCTGGCGTGGGGCCCGGGTTGACACCAAAGAGGTGCGCGAGGCTGCTGCGCTCGATGCCGGCGCCGCTGGTCGACCACATTGCGAGCACGTTTGGCACGCCGCGGCGGAGCAGCCCGACGATGCCCGAGTTGTCGATTAAAGCGCCATCGAGCAGCGCGGCCTTCGCGGGCCGGAAGAAGGCGTCCGACGGCGGCGAGACCCACCAGCCGCGGAGCCGCATCTGCGACTGATAGAACATCTGCACCGCCGTACTCTCGAGCGACCCGGGCTCGAGCCCTGTGAGCGAGTTGAGCTCGGTCGAGCAGAGGCGGCCGTCGTGCTGCCGCAGCTGGTATGGCGAGCCAAGGAACGAGGAGGCAGCCGCGTCCGAGAGCACGCGGTGCGCGTTATAAGCTTGCGGCTGGAAGAAGGGACCGTGCGCAAAGATCCCGTGGGCCAGGAGCTTGAAGTTGTCGTTGGCGACGTGGGAAGAGCCGGCGCCGCCGCGGCCGGCCGGGATGTCCGCGTAGATCATCGCACTCTTGTCGATTACGCCCGGGGTGGGGTGGAGTGGCACGCCTGCGTCGAGCGCCTCGGTGGGGACGGCCGAGAGGTCAACCAGCGCAGCGCCGGTGGTGATGGGCGAGGGGCCGGCGGAGGCGGAGAAGCCGTCGAACCCGTAGTAAGCCGAGAAGTGGTCGATGAAGCACGCCCACAGCGGGTTGCCCGACACGAGGCACGGCAGGAAGGCGTCACCAAAGGTCGCACACCATTGCTCGCACGAGCGAACCGCTGCCGCCGTCTCCTCCGGCCCCGCCGCCTCGACGCCGCCATCGGTGGTCGCCTCCTCGGAGATTGCGATGCATGAGGCACACTGGGCGACGCGCGGAAGGTCGAAGAGACGGCCGGCGTCCTGCAGGCCGTAGTTGTCCGCCGGGGGCTCGAGGTGCCGGAGCGCGCTTGCGTTGGCGCTGGCATACTTGTCGAGCGGAGGCACCCACAGCTTCTCGCCATTCGTCCACAGGTTGTGAGCGACCGCGCCGGCAGAGATGGTGGAGATCAGCAGGTTCTCGCCGGCCTCGCGGAGGCCAAGCGTGGAGAGCTCCTCGAGGTGACAGACGTGGTTCACGATGCCGCTCAGAGCGCCGCCGGAGAGCGCGAGGCCAACTGCGGGCGAGGCGATCTTGACGCCGTTGTGCGAGGCGAGCTGGTACGACTGAATCACGACGCCGATGGTGGTTAGGCCGGTAAGTGCGATCCAGGCGCGGTAGAGGGTTCCGATGGGCATGTTGCTCGAGTAAGGTTTGGGCGTCCGAGGGCCGCAGCGTGTCAAGAGCGTGGGAGCAAGAATCCACGAATTTTTTCTTCCGTGTGGAAACCAATCGTTGCTCCGTCTCCCTTCTCGACTGTAAAAGAAAGAAAACGGACAAGCCAAGGGAGGGATGGGAGGACGGCACGCCGCCACCACACAGGGATTTTAAGGAGAGGGGTGTGGTGCACTAGCCGTCGCCCAGCCTTCAGAGAGAGAGAGAGAGAGAGATTGTTTTTGTTTTTGCCTTCATGCCACCTCGCGGTCGCCCCACTTCGTAAAAAAAGAAAGAAAACAGACAACCCAAACGAGGGATAGGGGATGTGGGAGTCCACCGTGCACCGCGCTGCGAGCCTGTCGTGTCCCTTGAAAGTTGAAAACAGACACCCCAAACGAGGGATAGGGGAGGGAGGAGGACAGGGTCCCCACCTGCACGAGCAGGATTTTGGAAGGACGATCAGGGGGACAGGTGGGGCTCTCCTGCTCCTGACAAGGGACACGACAGGCTCGCTCGCAGCGCGGTGCACGGTGGAATCCCAACTCCACTGGCGGTCCCATCTCAGTCTAGCGACCTTCCTCCGGCTTCTCACCGGCAGAAGTCTCTCACTACCACGGGCACACTGAGGAAACAGGGGTGGCAGGGGCGGCGGCATGAGTCTCCCACATACTATGCGGGCCTCACTAGAGGTGCGGCCTGCGCGTGTCCTAAAAAAGAAAGAAAGAAAACAGACAACCCAAGGGAGGGATGGGAGGACGGCACGCCGCCACCACACAGGGATTTTAAGGAGAGGAGTGTGATGCGCTAGCCGTCGCCCACCCTAGGGAGTCTGCCTCTTCCTATCTCTTTTCGCAGTCTCTCGCCGATTCTCGCTGCAACCTTCATGCCACCTCGCGGCCGTCCCACTCTCGTCGTTCTCTCCCTTGTCACTTCCTCCTCTGTCGCGTCATTCTCTTCTGCCTCGTCCTGCGCCGCCGCCGCCTGCCGTTCCCTTGTTCTCTCGGCTTCTTTCGCCTTTCGGCGCAGCTCCGCCCTCCTTGCTGCATATCCTGGCCCCTCGAGTCTATCGAGCTCCCCTCGCGCAAGGACCACATTTCTGACTCCCACTCCGATCATTTGCCTCCAGGTCATGTTGTTGCTCAGGTCCACTCTCTCTTCGAACACTCGTACCTCTACGGATGATGCCGGCGCTGGGGTCCCCTTCGGATGCATCGTGACATCTGACAACTGAATTTCCACTGGTTCGTCCTCCTCGGAGTCATCTTCCCCGTCCTCCTTCCGTTCGGCTCTTCGCTCGGTACGTTCGGTGTGGCTCACCCTCCATGCCGTGAACAGGCGCTTTATCCACCCTCTATTCTTCTCGCGTGTCCTCGCCCTTCGACTGTTTGCGCCTTCGGTTTGTTTTGTGTGTGGCACCAATGCGGCCAGGAAGAAGCACGGCGCAGGCTTGTCTGCACTCACGTCGGATGCTCGCCGCCAGCCTCACCACAGCCTCGGTGCCGCCGGCCGACACCTGCAGCGCCGCGGGGTCACTGCCTTATACGCTGACAAACAAGACTCGCTTGAGCCCCGACTCGTGGCTGCTGCGTTTTGCCTTGCCGCGCCGGTACCTGGGCGACGACCCCTCGCTGCCGACGTGCCTCAAGGTCTTACATCCCGAGGGCACGGACGAGGCCGGCCGGCCCAAGCGCCTCGAGAAGAGCTACTCTCCGGTCTCGCATCCAGCCACCGAGGGCTCTGTCGACTTGGTTGTCAAGGCATATGAGCCGCGGCCGGGCGGCGGCGTCGGCACATGGCTGTGCGGCCTCGAGGAGGGTGCCGTGATGCATGCGGTTCTCAAGGCCAAGCGGGTCATGCACGGCGACGCGGCGGTCGTTGGCCGCTGGCAGCACGTCGGCCTCGTCGGCGGTGGCACCGGCATCGCGCCGCTGCTGCAGATTGCGCGCATCCTGCTCGAGGACACCGGCAGCGCTCCGGCGGCGAGCGTGCGGCTGCTTAGCGTGAACCGGCGCGAGGAGGACATACTTGCGAGGCAGGTGCGGCGCCCACCGCTTGGCGCGCTTCTGCATCGCTACCTGCCCCGAGAAGCGGGCGAGACGCCCTCGCGCACGCACAGCGCAGCAGCAGCCAGCGGCTTGGCACCATTGCAGCACCGGTGGCTCGCAGAGCGCATACGAAGCCCCGACACAGCCCTCTTCACCCTACCCACTCTGGATGCACGCGCCGAGGTGTCCGGGCACAGTGAGGCTTTGCGCGATGCGGTGCGCTGACCACGCTGAACCCCGCTCTGCCGTCAGGAGCTCGAAGCACTGGCCGCCGCGCACCCGGACCGCTTCCGAGTGAGCTACTCGCTGACTGCGCCGCCGGCGGGATGGGAGGGCCTCACGGGGAGGGGGTCGGCGGAGCTCATCACGGCGGCGCTGCCGCCTCCGCGCGGCGACGGCAGCACGATGGTGCTGGTCTGCGGCACGGACGGCTTCGTCGAGCTGTGGGGGGGTCCGGTGGCGCGCGCGCCCAAGCAGCCGGGCGAGAAGAAGGGCGCGAAGGTGCAGGGCCCGCTCCTCGGGCTCCTCGCCGAGGCCGGCTTCGACGCGTCCGAGGTGTTCAAGTACTGACCGGGGAGAGAGGACGCGGCGCCTGGCATGAACGCACATCGCACACATGCGCGAGCATTTCCTGTGCATTGTCAAATGGGAGAATGGGTTTGGCGCGCCCCATATCGGTGTGTGCGTGTGTGCGTCATTATTCGCGGCGGCTGCGGGCTCTGCCTCGGGGCTGGCGCTTACCGGATACCGCTTTTTATCCTTTTTATTTTCGGCAAAAAGTCATAGCCTGACGCTATAGCGTGTGTAGGGTGCTGGATGGAGGACGGGTACGAAGTACGATGCACTAGCCCCAGCCGTCGGGGGGGTGTTGCCGGCGCTGGTAGATGATCTCTCGGAGAAGAGCCGGAGGGACCTTGGCGCCGGGGTCACGAGGAACTTGCAAGTCGTGGCCGAGGCGGCGACGGGAGCGGTGCAGAGGATCCAGCTCAACGATGAGGCTACGGCGCGCATAATGAAGAGAGAGGAACACATCGAGTGGCTGAGGAAGCTCTTCACTGGGTGGAAAGAGGCTCGGCCGGCCTTGAGGGAGTCGCGGAGGAGGAGGGATAACGCAGGCAACGCAGGGACGGGCCAACAGCCAGTGGGACGAACGAGGGCCGCGACGGCGGCTCAAGCGGGAGGGAGCGGAGACGGTGGGCAGCGAGCGAAGTGGGTGAGACTGATGATGCTCCTTCGACTTAGGGAGCGGTTCAGCTGCTGGGCGGGCTTCAGGTTGGTGCTCACGCGAAAAGGAATCGACGCGATGTGCAAAGCATACAAGAAGGGGAGAAGGAAGAGGAGAGACGCCGGTGGTGACGAAGCAGAAACTAGCGCAGACGAGAGCAGGGCAGACCCGGGGACTGGGGAGCCGGAGCGGACGGCATCAGCCGCCGAGGGAACGTTGGGAAGAGGCACGAGGAGGGCGGCGACCTCGACCGACTATGGAGGACCCGTCGCCAGACGACGCAGGGCAGACGACGGGGAGGCGGAGCAGTCGCGCAGGGCGAGACGAGGGAGGGAGCAGGATGTTGCGGAGATCAGCAGGAGGATGTACGAAGAGATTAGGAGCAGCAGGGACCCGAGGGACCATGTGGAAGACGGCTAGTGCTAGTCCCCCATCGGGAGGACGACCCCGGCTAGTCGCCGACCACACCCACAAAGAACCCTGCACAAAGATCGCAAGGGCGGGGACCTCCTTTTTACCCACCTCACAGTAGAGAGGTGTGCGTTTTTATTTATTTCTTTATAGTCAGTGTATCCTCTATGCTCTATGAAAGTTCGGCCGATCTCTCTCTAGATTGGGGCAAAACGACAAAACTCAAAAGTCGCAGGCGCGCAAAAATTTTGGACATTCTACTCTCCGGCGCGCCCGCGGCGCTCTCCAAATACTCGCTCACTATAGCGGCGTGCAGCCGGCGGCGCAGCCACGCCTTGTTGCCCGAGAGGGCCTCGCCACGCTCGCCCAGCTCCTCCTTGCTCCACCACCTTCATCGCCACCAGATCCTTTTGGACCTTTCGCATCGCCGCCGCCGCAAAGAGCCCCGGGCTCAGCCTCGTGCTCAGCAGCGCCTGCCCGCCCGCGGCCACGGTGACGCGACGGCGTGTGCATCACCGTTGCCCAGGCGCGAAAGTGTGTTGTGGGAGGATGCGTCCTTATGTGTCACAAACTTGTAGCGCTACATGTACATGTTGTTTGAACACCCACCGGCGGGCGCTCTCGAGGCGAGCGGCAGCATTTTTTGCTGCACCCGGCGCGCGCAGCGCCGAAGAAAATTTTGAAAAATGCTAAAAGTTGGGCGCTCCGAGACGACCAAAGTGGTAAAAGTCGCACTCTCCCCTGACCCGAGGCTCTCCAGATGCAGAACGCAGAAGAGAATCCAGAAACCTAACTCCTAAGTCCTAACCCTCAGACTATGCAAAAAGTTACACGGGACATCTACCGATTTTGAAATTTAATATATGTATGTATTTAGGGGATGCGAATGTTGGACGGAGGGTGGACGCGTATAATTATTAATAACGTATACGGCTGGGCTCTAAAGTCTAATTCTCGTATGTCGTAATTGTCATACTTTGGCAATCTGTTCTTATACAACTATTCCAGCGACGCACAAAAGGTAAACACTGCCCAAAGTCCAACGGTACACGTCTTCGACCGGGCGGCGGCCGGGGCTGTGGACCAACGTATCTACACTGCGCGCGCGATGCAGACTCCTGCTCTCGTGTGCTCTCTCCCGGCGCTCTCTCTCATGAACAACTCCACCTCTGCCGCTGCCCTGACTTCCCCGGCGCCTGGTCGCAGACAACATCCCTCACGGATCGACAGCAAGCACACGGTGGCGCTCGGCGCTCGCGCCCTAATAGCCCCGCGTGGTGGGGAGTCGGGTGCCCTGGAAAGGGGGGGGGGGGGGAAGCGAAGGCGGGCGTGCGGCCGAGAGAGAGAGAGTCGGGCGAGTGGCATATGCGATGTGGTGCGGGTGGTGCTGGCGGCGAGCACGACGGCGGTGGTGGCGGCGGTGGAGTGAGGGCGGGGCGCGAGGGCTTGAGGAGGGGAAGGGCTACGAAACCTCCGAGTCCTGGATGTGGCCCTGTTGGACGCCGTGGTTTTTCTTGGCAGTCTTGAGAGCGTCCACGTAGTCCTGCTTCGGCAAAAACGCGTGGTCGCCTGCGCAGGCCGCGCGTGCGGGTTGCGGCCTGCCCGACCAGCAACCCTCTCGGTGGCTGTGTGCGCCGCGGTGGACGTTGTGTGCGGTAGGGCGTGGAGGACGGCAAATTGTGAGGCAAGGATGGGGCTGGTCAGGCTCGAGGGGGCTGCTTACCCGAAGAGTGGCGCCGCATCACCTTACTCGAGGTCTGGGGAGAGAGGTGGGTCTCCTTGGCGGCGACGACCGCCTTTGGCCGCAGGAGGATCCAGCCTGCGAGCACGGATCCCACTGGGCGTGAAGAGAAGCAAGGCAACGCAGCAAATACACAGCCTCACGCACCGCCGATAGCGGCGACAGCGGCCGCTCCCACTGCCTTGGTGGCTGACATGTTGAGAGAGATTGGGTTCGTTGATTGTCCAGTTTTAGCCGCGATTTTTCTTTTTTTTTTGGTCTTAGCCTTCGATGTTAGGAAACAAAGCAAGGCGGGACATGGCATATCACTCTCGGCCCCACAGACTCTTTCTTTTTTATTTACAGTGAGTCGTCCCCGCCAATCCAGTATTGGATTTGAGGGTCGTCGTACAGTATTGGCGTCATCACTCACAACATCGTGAGCAGAGCTGTAGTAGAGCCGGAGCCGCATGAGTCTTGTGGTCGGAGGAGGAGTCGTCGGAGGAGCGGTCGGACAGCCCGCGCTTGTCGCGCCTGATGCGCTCTGCGAGGGGGCCGGGCGTAGTCGTCGTGCTCGAGCGTCGGGAAGACAGCGCGCCTTGCGACCTTGTCGGCCGAGCTGCCATCCCAGTACAAGGTGTACCACAGAACCAGTCGCCGCGAGGATAGAACCAAGCGTTGACCAACCTGTACCGTTCGAGAGCGGCCGCCTGAGCGGCCTGAGCAGCCGCCTGAGCAGCGCCTGAGCAGCCGCTCGGGCAGCCGCGGCAGCGGCAGCCTCTCGAGCCGCCGCCTCGCGCGTGCCTTGTTTCTTGCTTTCTTCTCCTGCCGCGTGCGCGACGTCTGCTTCTTCTTCTTCTTGGCGCCCGCAGAGTGGGGCTGGCTGACCCGCCAGAGGTCGTGCTCTGGACGAGACTGGGGCAGGGCGACTCACCGGAGGTGAAGGGGGACGAGGGCGGAGGCAGACTCAGCTGCTCTCCGTTGACCTCATGTTGGTGGCAGAACCAGTTGGTTCCGTGGCAGTCGTCTCTCTTCTTCGTACAGAGGTGCTAGGATTGCGAGAGTCACAACCTTTCGTTCCGGGCCCCTTGCGTGGATTAACTATGAGCGAGGCCACTGCGAATCGTTAGTGTTTAGTGGATACGTCAATGAACACACCAGTGAGGGAGGGCGAGACGATCGAGGGGTCCCGTGCCATGCGGAATCGACCCTATCCCAGTGCAACAGTGCAACAGTGGATACGTACGCATCTGTGTCCGCGTAGTGTGTCTAGAGATCGTGGCATCGCGCGGCTGCAAAAAATCCAAGACAGGAACCCCGCTCCCGCGCTCCCCGCACGCGCACCCACACATAGCCTGCATCTACTCGTCGCAAATGATGGCGCCCTTGACCTTCATCCTCACGGCGAATGCCCTCTTCTTGTTGAGCAGCAGTAGCGTCTTGCCGTCGCGCCCGCCAAAGCAGAGGTTGCTGACGCCACCCTTCACCTTGATGCGGCCGAGGTAGCTACCGTCGGGCGAGTAAACGCGCACGCCATCGCCGCAGCCCGCGTAGAGGTTGCCGCGCACGTCGCACTTGAGGCCGTCTGGGTAGCCCTCGGCGCCCGTGTCGACTTCCTTCTTGTCGCACAGATCAATCAGCTTACGCGCGTTGGCCAGCGACGGCGCGCTGCCGTGTTGGCCGTCATGCACGACGTCATACGCAAAGACGCAGCTCCTCTCGCCGCCAGGGCACGCGTGCCGAAGCTGCTTGCCGCGGGCCCACTTCCCGCTCCACACATCAGAAACGTAGGCCGTCTTCTCGTCGGGCGACAGCAGCACGCCATTCGGCTCATCGGCGCGCCTGTCGACCCTGCGCCACTCGGCCAGATCCGAGCACTTTTGCGGGTGCGACGGCACAGCCCAGACGGCCTTGGCGGTATCAAACGGAGCCGCGCGAAAGCCCTGCGATTCGAGGCCGTACGCAGGGTCCGTGAAGAGGAGATGACCGGAAGACTTGTGCAGCACGAGATCATTCGGCGAGTTCAGCGTGAGGCCGGCTTCTGGGCCGAGTCGCGTCGCCACGCTCAGCGTTTTGTCGATGTGCCACAGCGAGCCGCTCACGGAGCCCAGCCCTTGCGAGCACAGGAACGCACCTCCCTTGAAGTCCGTGGTGCCGCCGTTGCCCATCTCTATCGCTTCTTCGAGCGCACGCAGCCGGCGCACGTTTCCCGACGGGTGGTGCAGCGCTATGATCTTAACGTTGGTGGCGAGGGTGTTTTGCTGCAGCCGGTCGGACGTGACGAGCCACTCCGAGGAGCTCGGAATCCAAACGCCAGCCTCGTGGAAGAGCGGCTCGTCACATTCGGCTAGCAGCACCGCAACAGACGTGTGCAGCTCGTCAAACTCGCAACTGGTCGCCTCGGTCGCCTCGAAGACGACCGGCCGCTCCGCCGGCTCGCACACGTCGGGCATGGCCGAGCAGCAGATGAAGCGCATGGTTCCAGTAGACCTACTGTTAAATGATAGTAGTAGGGCAGTGTGGTCGCAGGGCGCCCGGGTCGCCTCGGAGCAGCCCCGCCGCGGGTGGCAAAGGAAATCACTGGCTCCGGCGCGCGCATTGCAATGCCGCAGGCGTGACATGATTGGGCTCTGTGATCTAGATATCCGAACCTTTGAGCTGTGAAGGTCGGCCCGCCCCGGCGACACTCTTAGGGACTGCTGTAGGTAGGTGTCTGTCGACTCTCACAGCGAGGGACGAGGAATTCTCGTGGTGTGTGTGTGTGTGTGAGAGAGAGAGAGATGTAGATGTGAGAGAGAGATTTTTATTAACCAACAAGAAATCACGACTCTCACAGTGATTTGGGCTCGGCAGCTTGTTAGCCCCCTCAGCCGAAGCTGGGGCCGGTCCCGTAGCCGAGAGAGCCCGCGCCGATGAGTTCGACGCGGTCGGGGGGGCCTGCGGAGAGGCCAGCGAGGTGGCGATCGCTGTACTTCATGGTGTCATCAAGTGACTGGCTGACTAGCACACAATCAGGCCTACCTACGCCGCGTGGATGCTCCACATACACGTATGTGAGTCGGGCTGGCTCGAGCCTCCTTCCGTTGCGTCACTAGTTTGCATAGCGAAAACCGGCGATTTCGAAGCCTGTGCGCTGTGGCGGTTGGGTTCGCTAAGAAGGAGGGGGAGAGAGCGTTGAGGGGGCTCACGGCAAGGAAGGACACGGACCGAGGGAGGGGTCGGCCGTCACACCTCCCGCCGCCGAGAGAGCGACCGACCGGAGGGGGGGTCCGGTCCACCTCGGGGGCAGACCACCGACCGGCGGGGGGGTCCCCACGAAGTAGGGGGGGTGGGTACAAAGAGTGACGCTCGTATAAGAGGAATTAGGCTAAACCCTATATTAAGCTAAAGGGCTCCCTATACCCTAAGCCTAAATAAATAAATAAAAACGGACACCTCTACTGTGAGATGGGTACCCTAAGCCTAACTCAAGAAATCACCCCGTTTTTGCCCATTTACGGTCATCCGTCAAAATATCTGAAGATCCTACAATACTCAATAGGATTCTCCCCAAACCTTGCTCAGCTGATCCAGCCTGGGGGGAAGGCCAGCCCTGGGCAAAGAAACCAGTACCTCAACCGGCTTCCCTGAGCGTCACAGTTCGGTGATCGCGCCGGCCGGACACCACTGACAAACGTCCGTTCCGGGCATTTGAACGCGACCTTCGGGGGCAAGGCGACATGGGCTCTATCGTCTATGGCTCAGACTGGACTCCTCTTGGTCCCCCCTGATGCCCTAGGCCACACCTGTGCCTTACTTGGAGCTCTAGGGGGTGGGCAGGGTTTGCCCCCCCCCAACTGGCCCGAGGCACCTTAATGCTTAATGTTAATCCTTATAAAGTTCGGCAGTCGGCACCCTACTGCTGAGTGCTGTACGAATTTCCGGCTACATGCGGTAAGTAAGAACACACGCAAAAATCTCAGAAGAGTAGAGAAACCAGAAAGGCCAAACAAGTCTAGCGCACGGCGATGGCGATTGAGAGAGGAGCCACACATTCGACACAGCTGGCCAACTCCTTGACCCTCCCCTCCCCACATACTCCGATACTGTATCCCAACTCCTCGTTTCCCAAGACTCAGTCGCGTCGAGCTCCGTCCCGTCACATGCTGTTCGTCCCGTCACTTAGCCAGTCACATGCCCGACAACGCGGAAACAGCCCCGCCCACCAGGAAGAGGTCGAGGTTCCCCATCGCGGCGAGGCCGAAGAATGCGCCCTTCGGTGCGACCGTTTCCCACGCCGTCTTTGCGGCGGCGCCCGCCTTGGTGAGGCCCTGGGCCACGCTCCTCGAGGTGGCCTCGCCCGCGATGAAGCCGCCGGTCGCGACGCTCTTGCACACGCTAACAAGATCGGCATGGGGAGCGCTCGCGGCGGCGAGATCCTGCGACTCCGCGACAGCTTTCCACGCCAGCTTTGCGGCGGCGCCAGCCTTTGTGCCCGCGATGAAGCCGCCGGTCGCGACGCTCTTGCACACGCCAACAAGATCGGCATGGGGAGCGCTCGCGGCGGCGAGATCCTGCGACTCCGCGACAGCTTTCCACGCCAGCTTTGCGGCGGCGCCAGCCTTTGTGCCCGCGATGAAGCCGCCGGTCGCGACGCTCTTGCACAAGCTGACGAGCTCAGCGTGGGGAGGGCTCGCGGCGGCGAGCTCCTGCGACTCCGCGACAGCTTTCCACGCCAGCTTTGCGGCGGCGCCAGCCTTTGTGCCCGCGATGAAGCCGCCGGTCGCGACGCTCTTGCACAAGCTGACGAGCTCAGCGTGGGGAGGGCTCGCGGCGGCGAGCTCCTGCGACTCCACCGGCGGCAGCGGCGGCTCGTCCGGAGCGGCGGCGAGGTCGTACGCGGCGGCGAACGCCGCGAGTAGGGCCACGAGGGAGACCAGCGCCCCCCAAACGTCCGCCGACGAAGCCCGCGTCGCCTTGCGGGTTGCCGCCTTGCGTGGCGCTGGCGGCACGATGACGGTGCCCTCTGCGATGAGGAGGTTGCCGAGGCGCTCGCCGACGAGGCGGTGCTTGAAGACCCGGCCGTCCTTGGTCCGGTTCGTCAAAATCGCCTCCGAACGCCCCGTCGCCAGCAGGGTTTTGGTGAACTCGGCGGCGACGTCAAACTCCGTCGTTTCGCACTGGAGCAGGTCGGCCGGGCGCTTGCCCAGCGCCTCGCTCTCGGTGTAGCCGCACAGCGCGCTCCAGGCGTCGTTCACGCCGACGACTTTCCCCGCCCCGTCGCACACGATTGTGGGCTTGTCCGAACTGGGCGCCATCTGGGAGAGGGCCGCTGGAGTGCCTGACCTGAGAGTGCCCTCGCTGTGATGCGGCAATCAGGGGCGTTTTTTTTTCTTTTTTTCTGGCAGCCCGGCCAACCCTTCTCCCACAAGACCGGCCGCTCAAGGCGCACCGCGGTTTCTACCACGACGCGATTCTTGTCAAGCGCAACAACTTCAACCTTCTCTCTCCACGAGACGTTCGGCGGCGGCTTCTCGCCCACCGACCGCCGTTCTCAAGCTGCGCCGCCTCGCGCGCGGCAGCGTTGACCGCACGGCCGACTCGCCCAAGTACTCGCTCTCTTTTATGTCCCACCATGCAGAGCGCATCTCTCTCTCTCTTGTGCGAGGCGTGAACCGCGCCATTCGCTCTCACCTGGCAACACCCTGTCTGCACGTCTCGCGCGCGCGTGAACAGGGCAACAGTCGTCCACACACCCCAAAATTGAGTTCGACCGCCCAAATCTGTCTCCCTCCTCCCCCCCCCCCCCCCCCCGCAAACTTTAAACCACCATAAACTTCAGTCTGCAGGGGCTCCAGGCCCCAAATGACGTGTGAGTGTTAGAGTTGTTGAGCACTTGTGACTTGAGCACTGGATAGGGTCGATTCCGCATGGTAACGGGACCCACCGATCGTCTCGCCCTCCCTCACTGGTGTGTTCCTTGGGGGGGGTCCTAACAAACACGGTCTACAGGATCGAGGTGCGCGCACGCTGCGGTGAGGGACCCTGAGAGGGTAGATCGAGCAGTGTCGTCCCCCCTCGCCTAGAGTTGTTTGGTATTGCTAAAAATCTCTCTCCCACACGCCTGGGAAGCTGGAATGGGCAGATTTTGGGCTTTACGAGAGAGAGTTTCCTCTCGCACCCTGCCTGGTTCCCTTTCCGTGTTTCCTGCTAGTTTCCCTACAGCACCCTCTAGTTTCCTTTGGAAACTCCGTGGAAATCATCAATTTCCCGGGCTCTGAGCCGAGTCTGAGGCTGGTTTGGGCCCCAAATCAGCCCAATCGGCAAAACCGGGGTATTTTGCGGGTATACCTGGAAAACCCCGGGTATACCTGGAAAATACCCGCGTAGTTTGCCGGTTTCCCTCGGTTTCGCCTCAGATTTTGCCCCAAACCAGCTCTCAGACTCAGGGAAACTCGAGAGTTGCCAGAATGGAGCAGGAATGGAGCACCAGACCCTCTGGTTTCCCTGGAAACTTCCGTAAACTCAAAGTGCTGCTGGGGACCCTATGGTTTCCCTCTGGGTTGCGCCGGAAACTCTCCGTAAAGGCCAAGGCAGATTGGGCTCGAAGGAGAGCCGCGGTCGCGGTCGCGGCCAGCGCGCGGGGCCTGGCTAGGGCTGCCGGGCGAGTCCAAGAGGCAAACGGCTTCTCGGCCACAGAGCCAGCACCAGCACCACAGTCAGTGCACAGGTGGGGGGCGGTGCCCGTGTCGCCTAGTTCCGCCCGCGGATGGGCGGCCCCTCCACCCTCCTTCATGCACTCGAATGTACGGATCACCTAGTCCCCACCGAAGCTGTCGTGGGATCGCAGAAGAAAACAGCGCACCAATGTCTGCGAAAACAGCCCGCCCCCAAGTGATTTCTCTCGCGCGCAAGACTGCAGTCATGCACATATGCCGGAGGCGCGTCTCGTTGTCGCCGCCTTTCGCGCCGCGTACTCCGAGGCGTCGGCGGCCAGAGGCGGCGCCGTCTACTCGGGACAGAGCGTCAGCGGCCTGAGCGACGTGGACGCCGACGTGCCCCTCGTCGCAGCGCTTGTGCTGTGTGGTTCTGACGAGGTGGTGCAGCTTGGGCCGTGCGAGCGGACCTTCCTCGCGCAGAGCTGCTTCAAGCCGCTGACGCTCGCCATGGCGCTGCAGCTCGGGCTCGGCCCGGAGGTCTTTTGGAAGCACGTCCGGCAGGTTCTTTCTGTCATTCATTGCGTCTCATCTCTCGTTCTTCCTCTCAGGCGACAAGCACAGCCGCGGCGCACACATCTGGCGCTTCTTCTGCCGAGGTCGGCTGCGCTATGGTAGGTGCGGCGCGCGGTGGCGAGCGTCGGCGACGTGCCGTTCGGCTCGTTTGGCCTCGCCGAGGACGGGCGCGCGCTCAATCCGCTCATCAACTCTGGCGCGCTGGTCGTCTGCGAGCTGCTCTCGCGCACGCACAGCGAGGAGGACGTCGGGCGATGGTGCCGCAGCGTGGGAGGACCGCGCGACGCGGGGACGGCCGCCTCGCAGCGGACCTCGTGCTTCGACACGGCAGCGGTGGCGGCGACCGCCGCGGCGCGTGGCGGCCGGAGCGTTCTCGACCGCGCGAGGCGAGGGCTCTGACTGAGACCAGACGACAGCGGTAGGACTCGCTACGCAACCGAGGGCTGTGCTGCCAGCTGGCGAGCAGGCGCGAGCGTCGCTGCCTCCGTGGCACATCGCCGCCGCCGCCACCCTCCCCGGCCGTCGCCCTCGCTGCCCCTCGAGCCGTCTCGCCACCTTGCCGTCACAGGGGCTCGCTGCCGAGGACAGAGGACGCCGTCGAGCGCGCGGTGCGGCACTACGCCGCGCTGGACTGCCTGCGCACAGACGCGACGGAGCTTGCGCGCGCCGCGGCCGCCTTTGCGGGCGGCGGCGGCGGCGGCGGCGGCGGCGGCGGCGGCGGCGACGCGCTCAGCGCGCGCACTCGCACGGCGACGCTGTCGGCGATGCTCCACTCGGGCATGTACGAGGCGAGCGGGACGTGGGCGGAAGAGGTGGGGCTGCCGGCGAAGTCCGGGGTGAGTGGCGCCGTCTGGTGCGCCATCCCCGGCGTCGGCGGCGTCTGCGCGCAGCAGCCGCGCATCGACGGCGCGGGGAACTCGGTGGCGGCGATGGCGATGCTGCGCGCGCTGGTCGCGAGGCTGCCAGAGATGAGCGTCTTTCATGGCGGATAAGACATGGCGCATTAGGGTGGCCGCCGAGATTGTGGCGCACAAGTGTACGGCGCACACACTTTTTCATCGGTGTGTGTGCAAATCGTGGTATCGGTGTGTGCACCAGACATGGCAAATGCGATTTCAAATGGTACGGTGTGCCAGACATCGGTGTGTGCAACTGGTAATGGTGTACGCGTGTAACGCTACTTGCTCGTGAGAGCTGCCGACGGTGCGCGGTGTGGGTGCGTGGGTGTGCGCGAGAGTTTCCGAGCGAGAGTTTTTATTTTAAATCGTTTTATTACGGCTTCTGACGCAAAGAGCTGCATGCCATCGAAGGCGCTGTCGAGGTTCGCCGAGCGCGGCGCAGGTTGGAGGACACCGTCACCGACGAGCGCGTTGGACTTTTCACTCCGGACAAAGACGGCGCGGACACGCACACGAGCTGCGGCCGTGTCGCCGTCATAGCGGCGAGGCGCGGGACCGTCTGTGGCGAGGTGGGTCGCGTCCTCCGATTTCCTCAACTCACGGTCCGCTCCCTCTACTTATTATTAGATATTACTCGTCCGGGAGAGAGCGACCTCGGACGACCTGCAGCCTCCGCGGCTGCACCCGCTCGGTCCTCGCCCCCCACACGCTTGTCCACAGCCACCCCGCACGACCCTCGCGGCCACGCGGGGACTGCTCGCGGATTCGGGGATTCCACCCTCCGCGACGCGGCTGCCGGCAACCCGTGAGTCGGGGCTCTGATCTGGTCGGGGGGCGGGGGAGGCGGGGGGGCGGCGGGCGGGGGGGGTCCCCGATTCTCCCGCGTTTTATCTGTATCCAGCGCCGACACGCACCGCCTCACCCGATCACCCGTCGCATCGCAGCAGATCCCCTCCCCTACGACAACGGCACTCCTCGCCCGTCCCGGCCCAGCCGCGCGTGAGCGTTCCACGAGGATAGTCGGGAAGGCAGCCGTCGTTTTGCCAGTCAGCCGAGCCCACCCGCAGGTCCCACACCTCGTAGTCCGCATAGTGCTCCGCGTCGTAGTTGGTGAACTGGATCGTGTCGTACCCCTCCGTGCGCAGGGCCTCCACAGTCTCGACGTAGCACTCCCTCTCACACCAGCTGTGGCACGTCTCGTCCAGCACCGAGCCCCAGCAGCTGAAGCCGAATCTCGTCGCCAAGTCTGCGTGCGTTCGGAGGACCACAGTGCGCCGCAAGTCGAGGAAGACGCCGCTCCCGGGTGCGAGAAAGAACCAGGCAGTGCCCTGAGGCCAGTCGTGGCTGTCGCAGCACGCATGAAACACCTCGGCACGCGTGTGGGACGGCAGCCCCTCGCTGATGGCGAGGCGAGCAAACACTTCTGGCACATACCGCCCCGGCCCGCTGCACCAGGGGTGGAGGCACCGCCACACGTTCCCGTGGGAGCGCCATTCCGAGGGTCTGAGCGCGCTGTGACGGACGCGACCCCAGGCGAATCCGTGGCCGTACAGCTCGCCGAATCGCAGCGCAGGCCCCTCGATGACCATGTAGCTCCATCGCTCGCCGCCGGGCTGCTGCTCGCGCAGCTTCAAGCTCGCCTTGGCTGTGAGGGGCAGGCGATCCCAATAAAAGAAGGCGATCTCGCCCAGTGAGAAGGGAAAGACCATCGTCCGGATGCCGTACACGTGCTCAAAGTAGTCCGCCCACGGCGACGCACGCAGCTCCGTAGCTGTGGCGAATGTCTGCAGCAGCTGCGTCTGCGTCGGGAGGCAACATTCCGCCGCCGCCGCGCTGGTCTCAACGACACGCTGCATCCACTCACGCTGCGGGCTGTCGCTCATTCCGCGCGCCAGTGGATATCTGGATCCACCGGGCGGCAGCGGCGGCGTGGGCGGCGACGGACAGCAGGTGTAGCTCGCCCGTTGGAAGCCAAAGCAGTCTTGAAGTGTGTGCACGGCGGCGTAGCCGTAGCGACAGGTCGCGCTGTCGCCTGCAGGCGCACAGCAGTCGTCGCCGACGCTGGTGCACTGCTCATCATCGCAGTCGGGCGGCGGCGCTGGCGTGGGCGGCGACGGACAGCAGGTGTAGCTCGCCCGTTGGAAGCCAAAGCAGTCCTGAAGTGTGTGCACGGCGGCGTAGCCGTAGTGACAGGTCGCGCTGTCGCCTGCAGGCGCACAGCAGTCGTCGCCGGCGCTGGTGCACTGCTCATCATCGCAGTCGGGCGGCGGCTGTGCGGGATGGGGAGATGGCGAAGCAGGCGGCAGAAGAGGCGAGGGCGGTGAGTACGGAGGCAGCACAGGTGGGGCCCGCAGAGGCGGAGGCAGCAGAGGCGAGGGCGCTGAGGGGGTGGGGGAGGGTGGCGGCGGCGACGGCAACGGCGACAGTCGGCGTGGAAATGTCGAGGTTGGAGAGGCGGACTCCGACCCGGCTCTGACCCTGGGCGATGAGTGACGCACCAGAATTGGTGCACCGATGAGGAGAGGGATACAGATGGTGGTCAATATGATTCCATTGCACCACCAGCCAGGTGCCGACGCAGGGCTGGTGGCGCGCACCGGCTCCACGAGCTGCGTCGGCTCCCTTGAGGTCAGCTCCTCCAGCCGATGGAACGCTCGCTGGTGCCTGCTCGCCCTGCGCGGGACGGTGGCCACAGCGAGAGAGTCGCTCCCGCCGCTGGTGGCGTTGCTTTGCTCTGCGCTAACCGGAGACGCCTCTCGGCCCGAGACACCTTCCGCCCCCATGCCCGCATATTCGGGCCCGCGTTGGCGGCGGGCACAGTGGGTTCGGACTCTTAAGCCGTGTCGGTCGAGCAGTCGCATTGAAGACGTATGGTTCTTGCACTTGTGCAAGATTGGGCGTCTTCTGCCGCAGTCCCTTTGATGGGAGGCCCCAGGGTGGGGGCCACCTCGAACCCCCAGCGAGGGATTCGAGCGGAGGGTGCCCCGGATTCATCTATCCGCTGGGCCCCGGCACCTATTTTAGAACTGATCACTTTGCGCAGCAAGCTTTTTAGCTTTGGCCAAAAGGTAGTGCGCTGCGCCGTCGCTCTGTCTGTCGTGCACGCTCTCGTGCTTCGTTGTGACCCACCCTGTCCCACCCGTGTGTGATCAGTGTCTACGGAGGAGGGAGTGTCGTTGGCTCACGCCAGGCGCTCGTTGTCTTTGTACGTACTTTTAGCTTACTGGGAGAAAAGAGAGAGGGGGTTGTGTTCTCTAGGCCCCTAGGGGCCCTACGCCCTCTCTCTCTCTCTCTTTGTATACAAAAGATCCCTCTCCGCGGTGAGCCCAACCCAACACGCGTCTATGTCTGCGGCATCGAGCGCAACTTCACCGTGCGAGCCACATTGTGTCGACCTCTTCGACGGATGCATTTGGCGAAGCTCCTTGGTCGGGGATCCTTTCCGGGCGGCGCTGGTTTGCCGGAGCGAGCTGGACCTCGGACTTGGCGCCGTCGGCCGTGCTTGCACAGCGTGGTGCACTCCTCCCGATGACTCCTCCATGGAGCGGCTGATGACGGGCCGAGCGCAAGTGCGACAGAGCGGGCAGAGCGAACTCTCAGGCGAGGAGAAGGCTGCGCGCTTCCTCTCACAGGTGAAGCGCTACGCCGAGCAGCGCTCAACGGCCATCATCGGGCCGGTGGTCAGTCGAGCCTGGGAACGCGAGACGCCGAGCCACAGCGCCCTCGCTACGCTCGAGATTTCCGCTGCGGACGTTGCAGCCATCCCCGAGCCGACACAGTACGGGAACGAGCCAGTTGAGGCGCTGATAGACTCGGTGGAGGAGTTTGCCCTCAGCGGCGCGCTCGAGCTCCACGTCTTGGCTGCGATTCTACGCTCGCATCCGAGCCGTCTCGTCAAGCTCGACTTTGAGCAGCGGTTCGCCTACGTCTCCACGGCGGTCGGCTCCTTCGTGGCTGGCCGCCGCGAAGACCTGGCTCGCGCGTACTTTGCAAAAGAGACGGGCGTGGGCGGCGCCCTCGATCGCAGCGCCGCCCCGCCCCACGTCCAGCACCTCCTGCGCGACTGGTGGTTCGGCAGGACGCCGTGGCCAGTGTGCCCCCCACTCGCCGCCACGGAGAGTGCCGAGGGGCAGGCCGTCGACGCGCTCCTCCCCGACGGTCTGGCAGCCGACTTGCGACGGCACTGGGAGCAGATTGCAGCTGAGGCTCGGCAGCTACTCAGCCAGAGAGGCGAGCTCGGCGACATCTGGCCCCGGATCTATCCCGGAGGGCATTGGCAGGGGGTGCCCCTCTACCTCTCGAGCCTCTTGGTCAACCAGAGGCGGCAGCAGAACGCCACGTGGAGGGAGGGCAACCAGCGGCCGGGCTGCCGGAAGTTCCCGTTCACCTGCGGCCTGCTGAGGGGTCGCATGCGCTCTGAGCGGTGGGGCCTGCGGACGACAACGCACGCACCGAGGAACGAGGAGGAGGTGACCTTCTTCCTGCTGGGGCCGAGCCAGGTCGTGCCGCACCACACCGGCCAGCAGGGGCGGGTCAACGTCCACCTCTGTCTGCTCAACTGCGAGCGGGCGGCCGTGCAGGCGAACGGGAGCACGCTCCAGTACCGAGCAGGCGTGCCGGTGCCGTCGCCGGAGCCCCAGCTACCCTCCCCGGAGGCCCGTGGACCTTTTCCCTAGGCGGGCTGCTCGCCTTTGATGATGGCCTCTACCACAGCGTCCAGAACCACGACCCGGCCAACACCCGCGTCGTCCTCGGTCTCGGAGTGGTCCACCCTCAAAAGTCGGAGGAGCACGCGTACTGCTGGTCGAGCCGGGGTGGTCTCGAGCAACACCAACGGCGGGAGGCGGGTATTAGTTGGGGGTGGTGGGTGGCGGGAGCGGCGGCGGTGGCGGGGGTGGCGGGGCTGGTGCCGGCTGTGATTGCCGCAGTGCTGGCGAGAGAAGAGAGGTGGCATCGCGATTAATTACAAGAAATCTTTTCCCGCTTCCAATTCTTTTCAGTGTACCTGTCTCCTGTCTCCTGTGTTAGTGCCAGTGCGCGCCAGTCACGTGCCCCGTGTCGTGCGAGGGGCGCGTTGTACTTGGAGCACTTGGAGTGCAGAAAGAAAGAAAGAAAGAAAACAGACAACCCAAGGGAGGGATGGGAGGACGGCACGCCGCCACCACACAGGGATTTTAAGGAGAGGTGTGTGGTGCGCTATCCGTCGCCCACCCTAGGGAGTCTGCCTCTTCCTAGATCTCTCTTCGCAGTCTCTCGCCGATTCTCGCTGCAACCTTCATGCCACCTCGCGGTCGTCCCACCCTCGTCGTTCTCTCCCTTGTCACTTCCTCCTCTGTCGCGTTGTTCTCTTCTGCCTCGTCCTGCGACGCCGCCACCTGCCGGTCCCTTGTTCTCGCGGCTTCTTTCGCCTGTCGGCGCAACTCCGTCCTCCTCGCGGCGTATCCTGGCCCCTCGAGTCTATCGAGCTCCCCTCGCGCAAGGACCACATTTCTGACTCCCACTCCGATCATTTGCCTACAGGTCATGTTGTTGCTCAGGTCCACTCTCTCTTCGAACACTCGTGCCTCTACGGATGATGCCGGCGCTGGGGTCCCCTTCGGGTGCATCGTGACATCTGACAACTGGATTTCCACTTGGAGTGCAGTCGGCAACCTCAACCGGCGAAAAATTCTTTTCCTTGTGCAGCTGTGAGCGCTGTCAGAGCGGTGTTTCGACACCGATATCGTTCAAGGAGAACGTGTGTATACGGGTACCGCGACTGGGTCGGCCAGCGCTGTGAGTGACGCTTGGGCTGAGGTGCTCACGTCCAGGAGTCGGCGGGGAGCTTTCAGCCGCCGCTCAGAGCGGCAACGTGGGTGACATGCTCCGCAATCTCGCAAGGGGCCTCGCCGGACATTCAAAATGGCACAACACCCGCTTCCGCAAGGCGCGGCAGGATGCTGTCAAACTCGCAGTCGCCAGCAAGTTTGCCGGCATGATCCGAGTGGCGGTTGGAGCTGGCGACGAAGCCGGTGTTGCTGATGCTGTGGCCCGAGCGAAAAAGGAGGGTGTGACACGCGAGGTCATTGAGCGCGCGCTCGAGACGAGCCGCAACCGAGAGGCCTACAAGGAGGAGATGTACGAGGGCTCCCTCGCCGGAGGAGTGCTCGTCCTCGTCGAGGCGTTGACAGACAACCCGAGGAGAACGGCGCCAAAGGTGCGCCACCTCTTCAAGGAGGGCGGAGGCGCACTCGGCGCAGCGGGGTCCGCGGCGTGGGCGTTTCAGAGGCGAGGTCTGCTGCGCGTCCAAGGCATCAGCAGCGACAACGAAGCTCTGATCGAGGCGGCGCTCGAGGCGGGAGCGCAGGACGTCGAGGAGGATTCGGCAGCACACCTCGAGGCTGACGACGGCCCCTGCGCCGCCGTGTTTTGTGAGCCCAACGAGCTGGCCGCAGTGCGAGCCACCCTCAGCGCGAGAGGGTTCGAGGCGAGCGAGGCTGCGATCCTCTTCGTGCCGAGTACAACCGCAGAGCCTGCGGCCGGCCTGCGAGAGGCAGCGGAGAGCGCGCTCCTCGCTCTCGAGGAGATGGAGGACGTAGAGGGTATCTGGCACAATCTTGCACCATAGGCTGTAGTATGAATCTCCTTGACTCCTTCGGTACTTGCACCGACCTCTTTTGTCGCGTTCCTGTGACACCGCACTCCGCAGGTGCCACGGTGTCGGTGACGGCATTGACGATGTTGTTAGGGCGGTAAAAAACAGTGTTACGTATGTGTGTGTGTGACCGCATGCACGGACGAGACCCGGGCTACGCCCCGCCCGCACAGCCATTATTACACGCACATCACACACAACTCACAAGCCTCTCCCCCGGAGAGAGCGGACCACAGGCACCAGCGGGAGGGAGTAAGCCGTATCTAATGCACGTAATAGATACATACATACTTTTACGAAAGAGTGGGCAATGGCTCTGCGTGCCGGTGCGGCGGCCGTGCGCGCGACAGGGAGGAGAGAGCTCCGCTCAGGTAAGAGCAGATACATGTAACGCGCTTCGCCACCTATCGTCGTCCCCCAACGCCACGGCACTCCACGCCGATAGACCTAGCCCAAGCGAGGCGCGCTGGACCCGCCGTCAACGCGTGAGGAGCTTCAGCCCGCACGGCGAGTAGAACTCGAAGCTGGCGTGCGACAGGAGCGCGTCCAGGCAAAGCGCGCGCACAGACGTGAGCTCGGCGGCCGAAAGAGGCGCTTGCCCCGCACCAGAGCCGCCTACGGACGACAGCGGCGAGCGTCGCGGGACGGGTGGCGGCTAGACCGTCCCTCCGCCACGGCCGCAACCAGTCGTCCCGAGAGCGGACGCGTCGGGCGGGAAGTAGGTCTCGCACGCGGCGCGCAGCACGCGCCACTTGCCGGCGCCGCCGGCGCCGTCGTCCACCGCTTGTCGCGAGAGCAGCTCGATGCCCGCCCGCTTTTCGCGCGCGAGGTCCGAAATGGCGCCGAAGAGGCACGAGCGCCACGCGCGGTCGTCCGTCGCGCCGCCGCCGCCGCGCGGCCGAAAGACGGCGCAATAGTGGAGGAAGGAGGCGGCGCCCTGCGTCGTGCGCATGGTTGGCGCGGAGGCGGACGGCTCGTTGTTCCGGCGGTGCCAAGGCAGCATGGTCGCCTTGGCCCATCCAAAGGCGCAGGCCGCGCGGCCGAGCGGGGTGGAGGCAATGCCGCATGGGTCCGCCCCGGGGGTGAAGGCGTGCTCATGCGCCGTCGTCCAGTGGCGGAGCCAGCACGCGGGCGTTGCGTACGGGGGCGCCTGTCCGCAAGGCGGGGAGGGTGTGGGGGCGGGCAGGGCGCGGCGCGGGCGCGTGGAGCGGCGCGCCGCGTCGCAGCTCGTGGCTCTCCGCCCCTCCATCTGGGCCTGCATGTAGACGCCCGACGCGCACTGGCACCTGACGACGAGGTGGGCAGGCGGTGCGAGGGGACGCACCCCGCCGGGGGAGGGAGGGGAGGGGGGCGGGAAGCGGAGAGTGCGACGGGGAGCGTGTGTCGCGTGCCACGGAGTGTCTACTCGCCGCTCCTCCTCCTACCTCTGCTGCTGCTCACCGCTCCGCTCCGCGAGGCCCGTGCGAGCACGCGGCGACCGAGCGCTCAACCTCGCCCACCGCCATCTGCAAGCCGTGGCCGAGCCCGTGGACGCACGAGGAGTAGTCTCTCAGCGCGGCGCCGCGCGCGAGGCCAGCCTGCCCGTCCACGGCCGCGCCGCGGTCGCCGCGCCTCGCCGACCCCGCATCGCACGCCTGGGCCGAGAGCGCCCACTCCCACACCGTGGGGCCTATGACGAGGCGCGACTCAGTGATGGACGAACTGCCTCTCATGCCGCCCTCTCCCGGAACGAAGGGGGGGGGGGGGGGGGCCGTAGAGCGGCGAGGACGGGGTGGCGTTCACGGCGCCGAGCCCGCCGGCGAGCAAGCCGTGCTGGAGCCCCGCCCAAGCAGGCGAGAGGGACGCAATCGCGAGGCTCGGCGACAGGTCTGCAGGCCCGCCCCCGGCGGCGAGGCAGCGGGGGGACCCCGCGTGCTCGGCGGCGGCGAAGCCGAGAGCGTGCAGCGCAACGTGCGTGACGTCGCCGCTGTTCGCCTGGGCGAGCGACGGGGCCGAGCCTGGCTGCTTGCACTGCACTGTGGGTCGAGAAAGCGCGCGCGGGGGGGGGGGGGACCGGAAGGGGGGGGAGGGAGTGTCGCCGGCTGCTCTCGCCGCGGCTGCGCTCGCGCTCACCTGAGCAACGCTCGCGATTCCGTACAAACCGAGCGCGTCCACGTGCGCCTAGCCGAGATCGCGCGAGATGACCCGAGGTCGCCTTGCCCGGCTTCAGCCCTCGAGAGCCCCCCCCAGGAAATCTCTGGCGATCTCTGGCGATCTCGGACCTTGCCCAGCTTCAGCCACCGCTCGGGAGGACCTCCACGACCTCCACGCCCGTGCGCGTCGTGCCTAGGAAAGTTCCGAGACCCTTCCGAGCCGACTCCGGGAAGTGTGAGCTCCGCGTCCATGCGACTCGTGCTCGTGCTCAGCGAGGCCTCTCTCGCCGCGGCTCGCCGAGAGCGCGGCCTTGTACGCTCTGACGGCGCGCTCCGCCGCCGGCGCGGCCAGGTCGACCCACTCGCAGTTGGGGCGGCCGCCGGCTGGGGGAGAGGTGCCTGGGGGTGGGGGTGGGGTGGGGGTGGGGTGGGGGTTGGAGTGGGTGGGGGGGGGTAGTGCTGTCTGCACGAGACTGCGCGTGTAGCCTCGGGCAGCGGGGCCGCCCAGCCCGACTGCTCCTGCTCCTGCTCCTGCTCCTGCTCCTGCTCCTGCTCCTGCCGCGGTCCGTAGTCTCGCATCTACGGATGGCCTTGCAGCGGGGCCGCCCACCCCGAGCGGCGGAGAGACGCGGCGGCGATGGCGGCCGACGGGACTGCTCGCAGCAAGCGGCCGCCGCTCGCCTCGTCGAGTCGTCTCTTCCCGCCCGGGAGGGAGAGCGGGAGGGAGAGGGCGCGCATCGGCCGCTGCACGCGAGGGAGCGCGCCGATGCCGCCGGTGCCGTCCGGCGAGGAGCAGCAGCGGCCGGCGTACCTAGAAGGTTCCGCCGAGCAGGCTTTTCAGAAGGTCTGCTGCCTGGCGACGGGCAGCCGACGCGTGCGTACTCCGGGAAGGCGCGGAAGACCTCGGCGTCCGCACGGAGGACGAGTGAGGACAGCGCCGTGTCGTTGGCATAGTAGTCCTCGCAAGCGCCGTGGCTTGAGCGGTGGAGGTTGTACTTTGACGCGCTCGTGCTGAGCAGCGCGTGCCCGGCGCTCGAGTTGCGTCCTGCGGAGACGGGTCACCGGCGGCGGCGGCTTGAAGGCTGGCCACTGGGGTGGGGGCCGCGCGAGTGTGCAGAGAGAGTGAGAGCGGTTCCAGATCTAGCGCCGCCACCTCCGAGCCTCGCGGCGACGCCTGGTGGGGCCTGCGGAGGGAGAGGCGGGGATGGGGCCGGGGCTTTGAGGGTCCAGGATCATCCAGCCAGATATGGAGGCTGCGCCTGCTGCGCAAAGGCGGCGAGACAGTGGCGGAGGTCGTCGTCGAGCCTCTCGGTGTGGATCCAGCAGTCGACCGCGCCGATGTTGGGCACGTAGTCGCGGTAGCGGCGCGAGAACTCGCCGGCGGAAGCCCGCGTGAATTTACGCATCTGTTCCGTTCGCTGCGTGTCATTGCCGCCCGGATGAAAGACCTGCGCGAGCTGCGGGTTGCTGCTGTGCTTGTGAAGGAAGTCGATGTTGTACCGGCCTTTGGGACGGCTCCCGTTGTTGAGCATGCCTTCGACACCCCACGCCCACAAGGACACGTACAGCGCGCACGGGTTGCGCACCGACGACACGACAAAGGCGTGCTCTGCATCTTTCGCAGTCACCGGTTCCATTTCCCTCAAGATGCTGAGTGTGCCGTCGCGCAGGAGGTCGGCGTGCTGCGCGCGAAGAGTGGAAATGATCGCCTGGCCGCCCGTCTTTGCGAGGTGCTTGTAGATTATTCGAGATCGAGATGGAGCTTGCCCCTCCATGAGGTCACGTTTGTGTACCGAGCTCGTGGGAACTTCTGGGCGTCACTTCAGGCGCACACACCCGGGCACTCGCGATGAAGAAATCGCGCGCATCCAAGTAGGAAAGAGGAGAACGGAGAGACTGGGACGACTGGACACGACAAGACAGTGAGCCACCACAGGCGTCGTTGGCGCACATACTGAGCGGCAGCTGCGCTGGAAATAAGGAAGAGGCGCGTTACTTCATGCGGAAGCTTGACAAACACACGGCGAGGGCGACAGCAAGAGTCGAACGGGCGGCGCCTGACTCAAAAGACACCGCCACATTCCTGAGACGCGCGAGGGCAGCCTCCCTAAAGGCAATGGGCTCTAGATTCGGAGCGCTCGCCGAAGAGAGTCGCGACAAAATAGCGCCCGTGATTGCCTGCACGCTGCCCGCACTCACGGACTCCATTCCCGAAAGAAAGAGAGGGGAGCTCGCAGGAGAGGTGACGAGTGAACTACAGGTAGTGGGGAAGGCAGCCTCGATTGCCATACAGACATGGGTGCGAAACAACGACAAGACCAAGGCAAGGGCAGAGGAACGAGAGAAGAATATAGGGTGGATAAAGCGCCTGTTCACGGCATGGAGGGTGAGCCACGCTGGACGTGCTGAACGTAGAGCTGCGACGAAAGGCGAAAGAAGCCGCGAGAGCAAGGGAGCGGCAGGCGGCGGCGGCGTCGCAGGACGAGGCAGAGGAGGGCGACGCGACAGAGGAGGAAGCGGCAGGAGGGAGAACGACGAGAGTGGGACGACCGCGAGGTGGCATGAAGGTTGCGCAGCGAGAATCGGCGAGGGACTGCGAAGGGAGATAGAAAGAGGCAGACGACCAAGGGTTAGGGTGGGCGACGGCTAGCACCACACTCCTATCCTTAAAATCCCTGTCTGTGTGGTGGCGGCCTGCCGTCCTCCCATCCCTCCCCTGGGTTGTCTGTTTTCTTTCTTTCTTTAGCTCCGAGTAGCAAAATCCTGCAAAGGTGGGGACGTGTCTGTCCTCGACCCAGCCCCTAGCTTGGGATGTCCGTTTAGCGTTTTATTTATTTATTAGCTCCGAGTACAAGAGGAGTAGGGGGGGCGTTCTGCAGTTAAGCTTAAGGGGAACCCGGTACACGGAACCAACCCTCGGAGGCTCGGAGACCCGTGTTATGGCCCTGCGACCGCGCACCCCCCAGGGCTAGGGCTTTCTAGCCCGTAACCCGATGCCAATCGTCTGGCCAACTGGGTGCGCTTCTTAGGTCCCCGGCATGGTCCCCGGTCCTGGGCGTGCGGTTGCTAACTGCACTCCAAGTGCTCCAAGTGCGGCCGACATTGGGGTGTCTCAGTCTGCTGTCATCCTCCCATCCCCCCCTTGGTTGTCTGTTTTCTTTATTTCTTTCTTTTTGCTGTCCTCCCATCCCCCGACCATCTCTGGCATGCTGTATTTTGCCCGGATTTATGCTCGGGTTTGCTTTTCCAGCCTTTGAGTTTTGTCGATTTTGCCGTCAGCTTGGAGGCTCAGATTGGCTCTGCTGCGGATGCGCTGTGGATGTCGCGAGGCTGAGCCAGCTCTCACGGTACGCGTCGTAGTCGAGGCTGCCTGTCCAGCTCAGCAGCGCGTCCAGCTCTTCGTCGCTCCCGCCTCCTGACCCGCTCAAACCAGCGAGCGGTTCACAATCAAACGTTCCCGCCCGCCCCTCCTTGTACATGGCTTGAAGCCATCGCATCTTGCGCTGGCGCTGGCGCTTGGAGCGCGCCCCTCGACGCTCGAGTTTTACATGCGCCCAATCAACCACTGCCGCCGCCGTGCGGGCGGTCACCTCGTCAAAGCTGGCCAATAGCCGGTCGCTCACCTACCAGCGGAAGGGGAAGGGGGTGAGAGCAGTGCGATGTCTAGGTAGGCCGGTCGTCTGCGTGGCAGCACCAGTCTCCACCCGTTGTTCTCCACTCGGGAGTACCAGCCGGCTCGCTTATCAGCTACCGTCTGCTGCTTGCGATGGTCCGTGGCCGAGTCTGGGCGCGGGGTTGAGCTCCTCGATCCCGGCCACGGCTGCTTGCGCGCCGCCGTGTAATCGCGTGGTGCAAACGCGCCGACGTCGGTGATGGCGCCGTGGGTAAACACCTGCGAGAAGATGTGGCTAAGTCCTCTTTGCGTCTCGAGAGTTGTGCGGGAGTGCATCTGACACCGCACCTTGTAGTAGATGCTCGGGGGGAAGGAAGCGCCTCCGAGCCGAAACCGGACGTGCGATGAGAGGGATGCGTCCGCCATGAGCTGCGCCTCACGAGGGTTGATGCAACGCAGAAGCTGCGACGCGTCGCCCGCCGTCTCGCGAAATTCAATCATTCCGCGCAAGTAGGCCAAGATTTGGCGGCTGGCGTGAGCACGCCAGCTCCTCTGCACCTTGCTCGCTGCCAGTGCCACTGACGGCGGCCGTAGCCGCATGGTGTGTCGCACGCGGCGCTGAATCGTAATGGTAGCTCGCTGCCAGAGGGTGTACCTGTACCACCTCGCCATCACACCACCTCTCCACCGCGCCTGAATCAGGATTGCGGCATGCTGCAAAGGTCTCCCGTGGGTAAGATCTGAGCGCCTTCTGTCCTCGAGGAAACGCCGTACCAGCCCAGCGTCGGGAGCATTCACGTCCCGCGGATGAGGCGTAGATTGCCGTGCGGCATGAGTGATGGGCGATGCCATGTGCATGCGGTCGTCCATGGTGTGGCGGCCGCCGTTTCATAGCCTTGTTATTGAGAAGAATTTCATATACAAAGATGAGGAAAACCTTGTGTGGTTGCCGCGAGCACTCAGATGGCAGATCCCTGGGGCGTCTGCAGCCTCTTCATCTCTCTTCGCCAGGCTCGCGGTCATCCCACTCTGCCCGGGGTTGTGCGTTTATGGGCCTCCAGGGCTCGCACCTCAACCTCTCATAGACCAGCGCAAAGCGCCATTGGCACTTGGCGTATTTTCTTCTCAATAACAAGGCTGTGAACAGACGACCTGCAAGAAACGCCTGGCCTGCCTTGCTCAGCGTTCCGCGCGCTGCTTGTGGCTGCACACGCCAGTGCCACAGGGCGGTTGACAGCCGCCTGACTGTGCTGTTGGTCCCATGAAGACGGCAGAGCGGACCCATGGTATGAGCGTCTCCATTGGCCTACGCGACAGCGACAGCGCAGCAGGCTCTGCGTCAGAGCGGCAGCTCCTCGCGAGGGAGGACTTCAGCCTGCTGTCGCCAGCGTACTGGCGCCGCGCTCTCGACGCGCTCTTTCTACATAACGCGCTCAACCTGCTGATGCTCTGCTTACCGCTGGCGATCTTTGCAAAGAAGCGCGACTGGGACGCCGGCACCGTCTTCTTCCTTTCGCTCGTTGCAATCGCGCCGTTCGCAGAGCGTCTGAGCTACGTGACGGAGCAGCTGGCGCTGCACACATCTGAGGCGCTGGGCGGCCTGCTGAACGCAACCTTTGGCAACGTGACCGAGATCATCGTCAGCTTCTTTGCACTCAAGGGTGGCATGCTGCGCATCGTGCAGGTGCCACCGCCTCTCTAGCCCAGAGCTGGTAGTGCCGCCGATGACTTAGGTGGCTGCTCGGCACCCGCTGCATAGCCGCCTCCACCTCGGCCGCGCCTCTCACCTCTTCGCCTCCTCCTCCGCCGCCTCCGCCGCCTCCGCCGCCTCCGCCGCCTCCGCCGCCTCTGCCGCCTCCACCTCGGCCTCAGTACGCCGCCTCCGCCGCTCCTCCACCGCCTCCTGCCACCTCTCCCTGCCGCAGGTGTCGCTGCTCGGCTCCATCCTCTCCAACCTGCTGCTCGTGCTCGGCTGCGCCTTCTTCGCGGGGGGCATCCGCCACAAGCACCAGTACTTCAACGTCCACGGCTCCGCCGTCAACGTCGGCCTGCTCGTCATCTCGGTGATGGCGCTGCTCTTTCCGATGATGCTCGAGGCGTCCCACGAGGTGAAGGGGGGGGGGGGGGGTACCTTCTGCTAGGGAGAGGGTGGATAGACGCAGGTCGAGCGAGGGGCGGGCGGAGCGTCAGAGCGGGGGAGCGAGCTGGAGGAGTGGGAGGAGGCGCGGGGGCGCGCAGGGCGGTGGTGGCTCTCGTGTGCGTCACGGCGCGGGCGCTGCGGATTAGGTGCTCGCGCCGGGTGCGGTGATGGCGGTCTCGCGCTCTGTCTCCTGCCTGCTTCTACTCCTCTACGCGGGCTACATCTTCTTCCAGATGAGCACGCACCCTCACTTGTACGACCAGCCCGGCGGCGAGGGCGGCGAGGGCGGCGGCGCCGACGCCAACGGGGAGGAGGAGGAGGAGGAGGAGGAGGAGGAGGCGGTGCTGGGCGTGGCGGGCTCCATACTGTGGCTGGCCATCATCACCGTGGTGATTGGGCTGCTCTCCGAGTACACATCGCCGGTGCAGACGCGGCGGTGTGAAGAGCAGCTGCCCACGGCTCTCGCCGTGCTCAGGTACATGGTCGACGCGCTCGAGGACGCGGCGGAGGGGTGGGGCGTGCCAAACCTCTTCCTGGGCGCCATCATCATCCCGATCGTCGGCAACGCCGCGGAGCACGCCGCCGCCATCATCTTCGCCGTCAAGAACAAGATGGAGCTCGCCGTCGGCATCGCGGTCGGGTCGTCGATCCAGATTGCCATCTTTTGCGTCCCTTTGCTGGTGGTGACCGCCTGGGCACTCGGCATCGAGCTCTCGCTCAACTTCCAGCCCTTCGAGACGGGCGTGCTGCTGGTGACGGTGGGCGAGCCAGCTCACCCCCTCCCCCCGATCCCCGTCTCTCTTCTCTCTCTCTCTCTCTCTCTCTCTCCCCCCCCCACCCCCCCCACCCCGCGCTCTGTCCCACACTCAGTTTCTCTCCTTGCCATGCCGCGTAGGTGATGCTGGTTGGCTTCACCATCCTCAACGGCGAGTCGAGCTGGCTCATCGGCGCCATGCTCATCGTCGCCTACTGCTCCCTCGCCGCCGCATTCTTCGTGCACAAGGATCCGCCAGGCCTCCCTCGCCCTCCCTCCCTCCCTCCCTCGTATACCTACGACAGCCGATGAGGCCTCTCTGCTCGCGCGCTCGCTCGTGCCGGCTACGTATACCTACCACAGACTCCCTTCAGTATTTTACCGCGTTCCCTCCTCCTGCGCCCCTCTATGGACGCTCTGCCCCCTGCGCGCGCGAGTCCGCAAGACCCACGAGCCCGCCGCTGGAGTCTCTTCCGCGAGTATGTTGCGTGCTCATCGTGGGGTCTCGCGCGCTCGCGTACAACACCATTCTTGGTGACCGTCTTATTATTGCTGTTGACACACACACGCCCATACTTGGCGGCACTGCCGACGTATCTCAGTTAGATCACGCGCACGCCACACGCAGCTCGCACGTCGCAGGCAGACCCGAGACCGCCCACCGGCCGCAGGCCCGCACCGCCCGCGCGAAAACCTACTACGAAAAGTTAATTCTCGGGTCCGTTGGCCTCTTTGTAGGGAAGAATTTTTATCCGTCAACGGACGCCTGCTGGGGGCAGCTTCGCGGTAACCTCCCCCCTCCCCGTCCCCCACACACCGCTTGTCAACACAGCAGGCGCTGGCGGTGCCGGTGGCGCGCCTCCCATCAACGACGTTCCTTTCGAACTTCCTTTCGACGTACGACGAGAGAGAGGGGAAGGCACTGGCGGCGTCTGAAGACGACGGCCTCTGTAGACGACGGCGCCTCGTTGCAAATTTCTTTTGTCGCCGGGGCACCTTGCCAGTAGCTTCCTGTCTGTGTTACGCCATGTGCCGCTCGCTCGCCCGCCCAAGTGACTTGGATGCGCGGTCGAGGGCACCCCACCGTTCTTGGGACGCGCTGGCGCTCACCAGCGAGCGATCGTCCCCCCACCCATCCACCCTTTCTTTGAGGCTGTCGCTCCGAGATATTTTCACTCGATTTCCAAGCAAATGTCAAAGTGAAAATACATTATATAATCAATCACTAAGCGAAAAGAATTTACAATGCGAAGAGGGGGGGGTTAGAGGATCCCATTCGGGTTCGAAGTTTTGATTATTAGTCGCACTTTATCAGCGCGGCGTCGGCCCGACGGACGTCTCACCTTGTGGACATGCCGGACTACCAGCTGCTCACCGACGGGAAGAGCAATGCCAGGGGTCGCATGCTCAAGAGCGTGGCGACCTTGGTCCTCGTCGCGTCCGCTGGCGCCGCTCTGTTTGCCATGCGGGACTCCCCGCCGCAGGTGCCATTGGCGCTGACATTCGAGGACGGGCTCATTATGCCATCACCAGTCCCGGAGCCCTCGCCAGTCCCAGAGGCTGGCGCACCCCCTCCCGCGTCACCGCCGCCGCCAGCGTGCCCACAGAAAGCGTGGGACAAATGCATGAATATGACAGCGGTGACAGCCGCGTAGATGCCACACATGCCACACCCCTGGCCGCATGAGCTAGGGTGGGTGGCGTGCACGGATGCGCGCCCAAAGACTGACTCCGCCACGCCATGTGTACTGCAGACACCACCGGAAGAACTGTGCTGCCCGGACGGCACCTCCTGCAAGAAGATCATCCCCATCCCCTTCATCCCAGACAGCATGAAGATGTGCATCCCTGACTTCGGCATGAAGAAGAAGGGCAAGGGACCCGGCGGGCCTGATGAAGTGGCCCTCGAGGTCGCGCTTCGCAAAGCCCCCCCCCCCCCCCCACCCACCCACACACCTGGCTCTCCGCCACCCTCGCCCTCTTTCCATCACGACACGGCGCTTGACTTGTGCGCTTGGGCACCGCAGGTGCCAAACGATCTGATGTCCATCGAGGTCGGCCGCAAGGCGGCAGCGTACGTGCTGCTCTCTCGGGGGTCCGAGGAGGCAATCTCGGCCGCAGCAAGGGCAGCATCCATCGCATTCAGCGAGGGCAAAACAGAGCTGGAGGCCATTCAAGCGGGACAACAAGCTGCCGAGGCTAAATAGCGAATATGTAGACGGATTGGCGGCTTCAGAAGAGAAGCGCCACTTACGTTGGGCAGACGGTTGACTGGTGTCGCGTCCTGTAGCGCAGCAGTTCATCCCGTGTTCGATGACCATTCCTTCCCTCTCCCCCGGCTGTGCCACTCCCGAGCTGCCCGACTCGCCACCCGACTCTCCCCGCCGTCTGTGGTTTGGTTGCGACTCCTCCGGTCAAAAGAATTGAGGAATGCGACAGCACTGGACACTCCTCTCCTTAAAATCCCTGTGTGGTGTGTGTGTGTGTGTGGTGGCGGCGTGCCGTCCTCCCATCCCTTCCTGGGTTGTCTGTTCGGTTGCATTCTTTCTTTCTTTTACTGGGCACGGGACTGTGGCGCGCACACAAAGAATTCAGGGTCGTAAACCATAAATGAGAAACCTTTTTTCCGTGCTACGCGAAGAGGCTGTGGGCCCGTGAACAACAACAGCCTGCTGCTGCCGAGCAACAGGGTCAGGTTGCTGAGCCTCTGGCTCGCCGTCGCGGCTGAGCCTCCGCGCGAGGGCTGAGCAGCTGGTGGGTCGCGCGGTGGGGAGCACTCTGGGGGACTGGGCTCTGGGCGCTGTGATGCTCATTTGGGCCCGAGAGGGAAAGGAAAGTGTGAGTCGACAGTCGTGTCTCGTGTGAGACTAAATAAATAAATAAAAGAAAAAATTGTTTCGTGAACTCTCGCGCTCCGCGCCTTCGGCTTGCTTGGCAACGAGATGTCCAAGCTGATTGTCTGCACGTCGGGACTCGAGCCCGACAGAAAGCGCGACCTCCAAAGACACACGCCAACACTCAACATCGAGGTCGTCCCCGATCTGACACCGGAGTGCACGGTGCGCTCCCTGCTCACCCGCCGCTTCTCGGATCCGCGCCCGCCTGCGCCGCTCACTGTACGCGCCGCCTGCGTCCCCCCCGCCCCCCCGCAGCACCTCGTCGCCGACACGGTGCTGAGCGAAAAGTACCTGGCGGCGGTGACCTGGCGCATTCCGGTCGTGTCCTACGAGTGGGTCGAGGCGTCGCTCACCAACGGCGAGCCGATTGACGAGGAGGAGTACCTGCTCCGACCGCTGCACCGCCTCGTCATCTGCCTCTCGGGCCTCAGCTTCAGCACCGCCGACCGCCACAGCATCGAAGCTCTCGTCCAGCGGGAAGGCGGCGCCTACAGCGCCTCGCTGGATCGCCACTGCACACACCTGGTCACCGATTCGGCGTCAGGGGACAAGTACATGAAGTGCTGCGCCGAGAGCACGCTGCAACACGTCCGCATCGTGACCCCCGCGTGGCTCGCCGACTCCATCGCGCGTGGCGCCTGTGCGAACGGCAACGACTTCGCCGTCCGGGCCCCTCCGCCCTCGTCAGGGATGCGAGCTGCCGCGCCCGCGCCGCTCGACGCTGTCTTCGGGCCCCGGTTGTGCGCGCAAGCCGTGCCGCAGCTCTTTCTGTCGGATTGCGTGCTCCACTTCCCGGAGAGCGCCTCGGCGGCTCCCCTCCTCGTCTGCCTTCGGCGCTTGGCGCGTGGCTGCGGCGTCACTGTCGCAGAGCACCCCTCTGGCTGGGTTAGCCGCGCCCAGCGCCGGAGACGCGCCGCTAGCTCGCGCTGACCAGCGGGCGGCGTCCCCGCAGGTGACTCACATCGTACTGGGTGACACCGCCGGCAGCGACGCCGCCGTTTGGACCGAGCTGCAGGCCACTTGCCCGCTCGCAAAGCTCGTGTCGCATGTCTGGCTGACTGAGTGCGACCGCATGCGCGCCCACCTCCCTGCCTCGGAGTACCTTTGGACGCCGCCAGAGCCGCGCCGCCGCCCCCCACCCCCCCAGCCGCCGCCGCCACAGCAGCAGCAGCAGCTCCGTCACCACTCGGCGGCCGAGCCGGCGCAGCGGCGCCCACCGCTCGCCGGACAGGCACCGCCCCCGGTGCGTGAGGCCCGCGGTGGGGCGGGTGGCGCTGCAGCCGGTGCGCCGTCGGAAGAGGCGTTGGAGGCGGGAGACCCGGCGCGGGCGGCGGCGGCGGCGGCGGCGATGGCGGCGGGCGGGGCCGCACTTCGGCGCTCACCTCGCTGCAAGTCGCCTCGCAGTGCGCCCCCGCCCGCGGTAGTTGCCGCGGCCGCCGCCGCCGCCCGCGCCGG